ATATATCTAGGAAAAAAATATGACAAATGCCTCTGCTCTCCACGGCTTAGCCATAAACAATCCACAATAAACAATAAGCCATAAAACATAAACAAAAACAAAGCAAAAGCAAACGCAGACACCGATGCCGATGCCGAACTGGCGCAGATTCTGAAAATGGCAGGTAAAAAAACGATTGAAGAAAATAAAAAAAAAGCTAAAAAGTAAAACCAAAACAATAAAGAATCATGAATGAATGGCATGTGTGAATTCCGAATAGGTTTCAGCAAAAAGAACAGTGGACAGAAAAAGACCTACAATTATGTTTAAGCTATCCAAGTGGGTAATAGGAAAAATCGTTATTTTTTGGAGAAAAATAATACATTTTTTAAAAGGTAAATTAAGGTTCTAAAAATGTATAAAAGTATTATTAAATAATTTCTAGGTATTTATTAATATTGTGAGGTTTTACCTTCGTTAAGGAACCTTTTAGACCCCATCTTTATATAATTTATGAAGATTTTAATTGAAAAATACGCTTTATATATATTTATATTTTACAAATTGATTTAAATTTGAGTCTATTGAGAATTTATGCAGAAAAGCTAATAAATGAATTATCAGTCTCAAAGTAAACTATATGTTTTAGTTATGTATAGTTATTAATCGGTCATATTCCTTTATTTTTGACAATATTATTTTAAAATGGGAATTTCTGAAGAGCAAACTTTCCATTCTACATATAAATTACTCTTTAATTTACTCGATTGTCCCACTGTGCTCTTGGTGTCTCTCTGAGTGAGTCATTCACTTGACACTCACAATTGGACTGTTCAGTGTTGCGACTATTTGGCCAACGCGTCGTCGTATGCTGCTTATTTCTGAACCAACTTACCCCTTTCCCCTGCCCGTACCCGTTCCCGGTCATTCTGTACTTCATTTGCATAGCCACACACAAATTGTGCATGCCAATGGTTTTCGAGCTTTGTTTTGATCGCTTTTCTGGTCGACAATTAAATGTCAATTTCCTTTTACAATGGACAGCGATATGGGGACCCTTTGGTCACGTGATAATGGATGATGGATACTGGATACCATAGTATACAATCATGGTACTTTCCCTGTGAACCTGCCAAGCTGTTATTGATAAAGTCGCCGCCAGATATTCAAGGGCCAGATTCCATTTCAGATAAGTTTGAGACAAACTTTCCCCCCTCTGTTCCCTGACAAAAAAAATGTATTCAAAGCTAAAATGTTGCAGCTTTGTGAACTTTGTGGCAAGGACAACAACGTTGCAAGGATGCACATTGAAGGGGGGAGACACGGATCGATGGGACCTTCTCTACAAATTGCTACCTTTTTTTATAACCTTTACAGAGGAGAATACCCTGGGATAAAAAGCAGGGAGTAGGATACGAACTAGGCAAAAATTAAATTTAAATTAGTTTGTACACAAGTTACTTATTCTAACTAGGTAAGAGCTTTAGCATTTTATTAAAAGAGAAAGAAAGAGTAGCCTGAAACGTAACTAGTTCTTCAGACTCTAGGGTATTCACAGCTTCCATTCCTGAAACTCGGGCTACGCCCTTTCATGTGGCCTGCCGCAGTGCTTGTCCTTCACCTTTTCCCATTTTAGTTTTTTTTTTTCGTCTCACTTTTTTGCACCCCACAGGCCTGCATTTGTGTCCTCTTGTGGGCTGGATGCCGGCATTCAATTAATTTGCTGGCGATGATGCGATTTTATGGATGACACTCAACACTCGGGCTCTCTGGGCGGCGGTAAAGGTTTTCATTATTGATTTTAGTCCCATCTTTTTTGTTCACTCCGTCTGTCTCTCTTTAATATGTATTTATTGCAGTCACTTGATTCCCATCAAGTTGAAGGTATTGAGAGGATTGCACATGGAGAAATTGATAACTATTTTATAGATTTTGTTATCAGAAGTTTGCAGAAGCTGAAACTTAATCTACGAATTGGTTTTATTCCTTTTTCTGTTAAATTTTTTGATCAGAAAGCAGGCAAAAATGCAATCTCGAGTTTGCAACAACAAATTACACATGCTTTTTGCAAAAACTTGAAATGTTATAGTTTATAGAAAATGTAAGATATTTGTTTTATTTTAAAGTGTAAAGCAGCCGGCCGCCTGCTTCACACGTCACACGTTGGGCCAGCACCCCTCGTCCTTTGTGCTCTCTCGTCCTTTTCGTCCCCTTGGGCCCACAGCATAAGGCAGCCCAGCCACTAGCCTTGAGTGCGGGAATCCTTAGAAAAGTGGTAAAATTGCCGGTGGCGGCCAAGGGGAGTACCACGGGAGGAGAGTTGCCTTTGTCGTCGTCAGCCAAGGGTGGATTTTATATATAAAATGTTTTTTTCTTTATATTCCTCCTTGCCAAGTGCAGGGCCAAGTCGTCCTCCTGGCCACCACCTCGGCACCCCTAGAAAAGCCTCTGGCTCGTTGCCTTTACATAACTTTCCTTTTGTTTTCGCATCTTCTATCCCGCTTCGTTGTAGTTTTTTCGCACAACATTTTTTCGCACTCGGCTGGCAAAGGGGAGGAACTTGATCCCAGGAGTTTCTAACCCCCACCTATAAAAAAAAACAAAGAATAAATTAAATTCTTTTACAGTTTTTCTGGCATTTCCTACAACCGTTAACCAGTTGCTGTTTTTGTCAGTTCAAAAAAACAAGGGGAAATTACATGGGAAACTTTAGGTAAATTCCCAGAGATAACCATATGTTTTGGAAGGGAAAACTGTTTTTCTCTTTACTAGGTTAATTTCTTCATAATTCCCTTAAAAAGCTGGCCCTGTTTGGTTTCCATTTCCCTTCGGGGCGTAAATAGTATGCTGCACTAATCGGAGGGGCTGCCAAGCGTAATGATCTCAAGTTCCGCTTCAAAAGTTCCGCTTCGAAAAGTATTGTTAGGTCATAAAAAATGAGAGGAAAATGCATTTCTATTTTGTATTTTAAAGGCAGAGAAAGAAATCTAATTGAAATTGGGTGTAAGGCTTAAATAAAATAATTAATTAATAGAAATAGAAGCTGCTCCACAATCTATTCTTTTTATTACATTTTTAAACACAAATTTAAATTAAAAAGTTCACTCTATCAACTATGTATCTTTGCCTTAATTTTCCCCTCTTTTAACTTTCATCAAATTGAAAAGTTCTCAAGGCCTCAGCAAAGCTGAAATCAAATCCCCTAGAATTTCCCTCCTTAATTCTCGCTCAACTGGGCAACGGAAGCCAGAGAAATGACTAATTAAATTTACACCGTAAAAGTTTATTACTGTTGACTGGCCACGCCTCCTCCTCCTCCTCCTCCTGCAACCCCTTGCCCCCTTCTATAGACGTCTGGGATGTCTGGCCTCTTGGCCAAAGGCAAAATGTGAATGAAATCCGACAAGTAGAGTGTGTGGAAGAAGCCGAGGCCAACTGAAAATCCCTGCCAGGTTAAGACACAAAAGCCCTTGAGCTGAAAACACAGAAATACGTAGAAGTAAAATAAAAATAAAAAAATACAACAGACAGCTAAAATAAAGCGAGGAAAAAATATAAAACTAAAGCGAAACGTGCACTCAAATGAGATAAAAACGAGAGCCAGTCCAGAAATCAAACCCACAAAACAACATGAAACCATGAATGAATGACAGACATGAGAGAGCGAGGGAAATGCATGGCTATAAATCAGACATTGAAGCCGAAGAGCAGAGCCATTATGCTCGCATCCTTAGATAATAAACGGCAGACAAGGACACACGCCATCAAACAAAGGCTGCATCTCGGGGGAGTAACTGCTGTCAGTCTGTAATGAAAAGCTTTTAAATAGTTTATGTAGTAGTTCTTTGTGGCCCCCACAGTGGTTACTAAGTAATCGAGAATCTCCTGGGGAAAGCATTAGTGAGTCACTGCAGCTGGTTTTCATTATAAACAAACCAGAATGTAATACATGATTTGGTCTGGATTTAACTTAATAAATGATTCATTTTCTTGGGAAATAAAAATAATATATTTTAATAGTTAATAAAGTATTAAAGTAAGCCAGAGATAGATTATCTTTAACCAGCAGATACTGTATCTTTTTTTGTATCTTTACTTTACAGCTGCTGCTGAGGCGACTGATTTCAATCTGTGCTTACTCAACACACTTGATGTTGAGTTTTTGTGAGGGTTTTTGGGGGGTTGAGGGTCTTGGCTTGGGGTTTTGACTGAGTGGAACACTTCGCAGGGGGGCTTTTAGGGGTGGCTCGCACATAATTTCATCCGTAATCAGCTCTCAGCTGTCGAGATGCCCCAAATTCACGCTAATAACCTGCATGGCGGATGTGCATGGCTTCTCCAGACGTCGCCGCCTCTCTAGTTCCATCTTTCTATGTACATATCTCTTTCTGTTTCTATAGTTCCATCATAGCAGAGCATATGTGGAATTTTTGTGACTTTAAAGTTCATTGGACCCATTCCGGTTGAGTAGCGGCTTAAGCTCTTCTCTCTCCGAGTGGGCCACATATTTCTATCCCCCCCTTTTTGCTTCCTCTATTTTGTCAAATGTCTAAAGGGGGCGTGTCTCTCTGGTTTTCCAGAATTTCTGAGATACTTTTCACAGCACTTACTGCTCACTACCACCATCGTCATCATCATCATCATCATCATCTTGTTATTACTCTTTTTCTTCTGGCTTTAACCAGGGTCGCTAATTGGCCTTTCTGCGGTTATAAGACCCGCTTTTGATGTCATCCACCTATCCTCTCTTAACTGTAAATAGATCGTCCTACATTGTACATAAAATAAAAGAAAATGTAGTATTACTTACCTCTAGAGTTATTCGTAAGATAAGTGCCTTTTTATTTGATTTATTTTGATTTGATTGGAGCTCGGCATCTCTGGTAGTCAGTGGTGTCATCTTCGCCAAGATATTGCATCGAAATCTGCCTGCCCTCTAGATACTATATAGTTAGATAATCAACAGATTCTCTCACACACAAATCTCTTTCTCTTTCTCTTTGTTTCTTTCGTTTCTGCAGGTACGAAGCACAGCTCTTTTCGCGGCCATCCAGGCAAACACTTAGGTAACAAAACCACAAAATTTCAACTAAAAAGCAACACAAAAATAAAATTATAAATAAGTAATGTCATTCGTAATAATTAAAGAGCGCTTCCCGAACAATGATTAGGTTGTTTTTTTGGTAAACAAAAACATAATGATGAGAATTTAATTAAGATAATTATATCAGTGGGAAACAATCTTAAGTTTTAACTGAAGAGAAAAGCAAAAAGGAAGTTTATTTAAGAAAATTGTAATAATTTTAGGTATATAATCTATTATATTACATACCCTTACTCAAAGTATTTCCAAATCCAAAGTTCCATCTCTATAAAAAATATTCTAAAGCTGGGGATCGTCATTACACGATTCGTATTACAGCAATCTACAGATAATTATGATAATTAAGCTACTATACTGACTCAACATTGTTAGAATTCCTTGATTACAACTGAGTCAAAGTAGCCAAAGTAACCTCCAATTCCACAATTCTCCCCCACAGCTATGAAAGTGACTCACCCAAAACTCAAAAATTGAATCTACAGACTGCATATTAAGTGGGCTAATCTTCCGGGGTGAGGAGTAACCCATAGACCACCATTGAAGAGCCAAACATTTCCGCTCTAATCTCTGTCCCTATATTCCCTTTTTATTCCCCATAACACAGCCGAACACAACCCACTCTCTACCTATTATTCGCTATTAATATTTCCTGTCTCGCGCGCATAAATTAACGAATGTGCGATGGGGGAACCCTACTCAAATGCAAACCGTAAATACATGACGATTTGGTACGGATTATGACTGCTTGGCACCAAAGATTCCCGGTCTCCCACTTCACAAAACCAAAAAAAAAAAATATATATATATATATATTCTGTGGAGATATTTTTATGCAACGGAAGTGTTTGCTTTATTCAAAATGTAAATTTTTGTTAAATAATTTCAATGGGACATTACACAAAGAGAGATACCCTATTATAGAAGGTTGATTTAGACAGGTTTTTATAGATCTAACAAGTTTGCAAGCGATCTCAGAAGTGAAACTATAGATTAATTCTTAAGATATACTTTGGACTTGGGAAAGCGATGTCAATCAATGAAAACACATGCTAAATATCATTTACTAACTTCTCTTTAATTTCTAATAAAAACATATGGATAAAAATAACAATTACTTGTTCTGTTTAAACTCAATTACCAGAAACTAAAGGTTCCAAGTCTTGGGTTATTTATCATAGTTCACTTAGCCTTGTATTCATTGCTGGGTATCTAAATGTATAGTATATCCCAGACTGGAATGTATCCCACAGATATAGATACGTCTACAAACAGCCCGTCGGGTATGGTTTTCAGTTAAACAGAAAAAAAAACAGTGTGTGTGTGGGAGGGAGATCAGAGCTGACAATCAGTTAGAACTCTTCCCACAATAAAAAAAAAGCTACGTTCCAGGACGGGGATTCCTGGTCCACCGCTGGCAGTCAACGATTTGTGTAATTTTATGCCGCTTAATGCATAATTTATTCCGTTCCCTCAATGGAGCAGAGAGCAGGCAGCCCCTCCTGCTATTCCCTCTAACCCAGCACTTGCTCCACAAATTGCCCGCATTCCTTTGAAAAAGAAACGGGTTTACCTGCATTGTATTCATTTTTATTGCACTGAAAACTGAGGTTATAAAATGGGAGAGAATTTACCTTTAATATATATTAAAGATGTGGTATCTTTTGTGTTTTATAAACTAGCTTTGTAGTGGAGATCAATAGGTGGTTTTAAAATTATTATGAAGTTGGGTTACTGGAGGTTTACTGGATTTTTTAAAGAATAAATTATAAGATACTTTATAACAAGTGTATCTTTCAAGTTAATTCCGATATATTATCATGGAGAATTAAATATATATTCCGTAAAACCAGAAATAAGACCACAGATCCCCTCAGTTTACTTCCTGTGTACCAAGTTATTCCCCTCAACTAGATTTTAACCCCCAATACTCTTTTTGCAGAGGCCCTGCTGCAGTCGCGTCCATTACCTCACATTCCGGCCGGAAGCACAGCGGCCTCTCTTCTGGCGGATGCGGCAGAGCTCCAGCAGGATTCCGGCGGAGTTGGTCTCCAGTGCTCCTCGCTGAGCGGTGGCCACAGCTCAACCACATCGGTGTTCGAGTCCACGCATAGATGGACCTCTAAGGAGAACCTGCTGGCACCCGGCCCCGAAGAGGATGATCCCCAGCTGTTTGTGGCCCTATACGACTTCCAGGCCGGTGGCGAGAACCAGCTGAGCCTAAAGAAGGGCGAGCAAGTGCGCATACTCAGTTACAACAAGTCGGGCGAATGGTGCGAGGCGCACTCGAACTCGGGCAACGTGGGCTGGGTGCCCTCCAACTATGTGACGCCGCTCAATTCGCTGGAGAAGCACTCGTGGTACCATGGACCCATCTCCCGCAATGCTGCCGAATATCTGCTGAGCTCCGGGATTAATGGCAGCTTCCTGGTGCGTGAGAGTGAGAGTTCGCCGGGTCAGAGGAGCATTAGCCTGCGGTGAGTGGGAAATACTTGGACTTACCTCTAAGGAATACTCTAAATAAAGCTGTTTTTTATAGCTATGAGGGTCGTGTCTATCACTATCGCATCTCGGAGGATTCCGACGGCAAGGTCTTTGTCACCCAGGAGGCAAAATTCAACACCCTAGCAGAGCTAGTGCATCATCACAGTGTGCCACACGAGGGTCATGGCCTGATCACACCGCTTCTGTATCCAGCGCCCAAGCAGAACAAGCCCACCGTCTTCCCGCTGAGTCCCGAGCCTGATGAGTGGGAGATCTGCCGGACGGACATTATGATGAAGCACAAGCTGGGTGGCGGGCAATATGGCGAGGTCTACGAGGCGGTGTGGAAGCGTTACGGCAATACAGTGGCTGTCAAGACCCTGAAAGAGGATACCATGGCCTTGAAGGACTTCCTGGAAGAGGCTGCCATCATGAAGGAGATGAAGCACCCCAATTTGGTGCAATTAATAGGTAAATATATTCCTGGAGAAGAATGTCTTCAGGATCTTAACCATTGCTCCTTTTTCAGGTGTTTGCACCCGTGAGCCACCTTTCTACATCATCACCGAGTTCATGTCGCACGGCAATCTGCTGGACTTTTTGCGCTCCGCCGGCCGCGAAACCCTCGATGCGGTGGCGCTGCTCTACATGGCCACGCAGATAGCCTCCGGAATGAGCTACCTGGAGTCGCGCAACTATATCCACCGGGACTTGGCTGCCCGCAATTGTTTGGTGGGCGACAATAAGCTCGTCAAAGTGGCAGACTTTGGACTGGCACGCCTGATGCGCGATGATACGTATACGGCGCATGCCGGTGCCAAATTCCCCATCAAGTGGACAGCGCCAGAGGGATTGGCGTACAACAAGTTCAGCACCAAGTCGGACGTGTGGGCGTTCGGGGTGCTGCTGTGGGAGATTGCCACGTATGGGATGTCGCCGTATCCGGGCATCGACCTGACCGACGTTTATCACAAGCTGGAGAAGGGATATCGCATGGAGAGGCCGCCTGGTTGTCCCCCGGAGGTGTACGATCTGATGCGCCAATGCTGGCAGTGGGATGCCACCGACAGGCCCACATTCAAGAGCATACACCATGCGCTGGAGCACATGTTTCAGGTGGGTGACGTCGAGGTGTGGGACGATGAATATGATGACGATGACGATGATGAAGATCATGACGATCGCGACGACGGTGGCGAGGAGGCGAGTGACTACGACGGCGACGACGACGACGAGCATCAGCAGAACAACAACAGCAGCAGCGGCGGCGGCGGCCAGAGTCATAACCATAGCCATAGCACTAGCCATAGGAATAGGAGTAGTCATAGTCATAGCCACCACCATAGGCACCGCCACCACCTCGTGAACGTGCTCTGATCGATCGAGATCGAGGGTGCAAGTAGTGATAGCAATAATGAGCCACATGGTGCCCATCTCTCCTTCTCCGCTCCTCCGCAGGAATCGTCCATCACCGAAGCGGTGGAGAAGCAGCTGAACGCCAATGCCACCACCACCACCAACGCAGCCAGCGTGAGCAGCAGCTCCGCACCGAGCACATCGGGTATAGTCACTGGCGGAGGAGCCACCACCACAACGACGGCGGCCAGCGGCGGTGCCTCAACATCCTCCGCCACCGCATCGCTTAGTCTCACCCCGCAGATGGTGAAGAAGGGTCTGCCCGGCGGCCAGTCTCTCACGCCGAATGCCCACCACAACGATCCGCACCAGCTGCAAGCCAGCACGCCCATGTCAGGTGAATAATGAGCAAAATGAGCAGTGGACAAGCTTCAAGTTCTCTGTCTCTTATTATTGTGAATTTTTGTCCACAGAAACCGGCTCCAGTTCCACCAAGCTGACCACCTTCTCCAGTCAGGGCAAAGGCAATGTCCAGATGCGGAGGACCACCAACAAGCAGGGCAAGCAGGCGCCGGCTCCGCCCAAGCGAACCAGGTGAGTAAATTTATGTTTATTTTATTTCAAAAGTTGAAATACTAATAGTAATTATAGAAAATTATATTTAACAATATTATTATTATTTCAATCTCCTTTTCAGCCTCCTTTCGAGCAGTCGAGACTCGACATATCGCGAGGAGGACCCGACCAGCGCTCGTTGCAACTACATCGACGACCTCAGCACGAATGGTATACACAAATTGAAAACTAGCAATTATTTCAGCCAGACCCTTTCTAGAAATTTCAAGACACAAATTCCAAAACACCAACACAACAACAATACACAACAACAAATACGAACACAACAACAACCATTACTCCAACAACAACAACAACAGTCCGTACAGCAACAGCAATCCGTAGCACAGCAACAACAACATCAACAACAACTACAACAGAAACAACAGTATTCCATTAAGAAATCGTCCTCGTGCAGTAGTTTCCTTTACGACATCTTATTTCGAGGTATTATTTCGTCAAGGGAGTCTCCAAATTCCAAATTTTTATGTTATTTGTTCTTTGTTGTGTTATTTACTATTTGTTTTTGATTGGCTTATTATTAAGTGGAATTTATATTTGTTTTATTTCTAAATTTATTACAAATTGTTGATTTTTTGTCGACGTTGTTATACTTTCTCTTCTTTTCTTTTGTTGAAAGTATATTTGTTTAATCAAGTATTACATTTTTCCATTTGTTTACATTTACTTTTTAACCTTGGTATTTAATAATTTAATTTATTTTTAGTGTGTTTTTAGTATTAATTGGTGCCTGTTAACCTTAAGTTTTTATGTATTTGGATTTTGTTATCTTGTGTTTGGGGTTATAGCCTCGAAAGTGATTTTTGTAGGTTCCTTTATTCATTTTTATTTTTTTAAATATTTTTTTATTATATTTATAAAACATATTATTTTGGAAAAAAAACTAGAAAAGTTAGAGTAACAAATAAATCTGAAAAAGTTATATTTGGGAAAGACTCATACTAAATCAATATATAAAATAAACATAAATTAAATGAATAATAATTCGGGTATTTTAAAGTCTAAAAATTAAATCAAATAACTATTAATACAAATTTTGTAACGTTTAATGCTATATCTTTAATATGTAAAATACCAATATTACCAATATTTTCTATTATTGAACGTAATTTTTTTATTTTTAAAATTATTTTACAGCTTAGTTGGCAGTATTTTTCATATTCCGAGTGATTTTAGCTTTCAAAAATCCTTTCAAGGTTATATTCTAACTTAAACTTAATATTAATTACTTAATATTAATTCTTTTATTGTTTTTTAATTGATATTTTGGTGTTTTGTAGTTTTATTTGCTTAAAATATACATACATACATCACACATCAACGCACTTACACACACCTACACACATCACAAGACTCTGGTCAGGCTTAACTCTTGTTCAGTAATGTGGGAGGTACTTATTATCACTCCCATTACTGCCCTCTACTACCATCATTCAGCATCCAGCACCCGGCACGAGCATTCTTCTTTAATCATAAACCATGAAGGTAGTGAACCCTTTTTTAACCCAACTCTACTCTTCCTTTTCGCTTCGCCAGGCTTGGCCCGGGACATCAACAGTTTGACGCAGCGTTACGACTCGGAAACAGATCCAACCGCCGATCCTGATACCGATGCCACCGGCGACAGCCTGGAGCAGAGCCTGAGCCAAGTGGCCGTCGCCTCGCCGGCCAGCAACAAGATGCAACACTCGCTTCACGGAGGCGGAGGAGGCATTGGTCCACGATCGTCGCAGCAGCACAGCTCCTTCAAGCGTCCAACTCCGGCGCCCGTGATGGGCAATCGGGGTCTGGAGACCCGCCAGAGCAAACGCTCCCAGCAGGGGCTACCAACGCCACCGTCACCGGCACCAGCCCATCCACATCCACATGGGGCCAGCAATAATGGCAGTGCTCACCCCATCACCGTGGGCTCCCTGGATGTGATGAATGTGAAGAGAGTGGTGAATCGCTATGGAACCCTGCCCAAAGTGCAAAGGATCGGAGCCTATCTGGATAGCTTGGAAGATAGCAGTGAGCCTGCAGCTCCGGCAGTTGCTCCGGTTACTCCCACGCCGGCCAACGGTCATGCCACACCACCTTCAAGCCGGGTTAATCCCAAGGTCAGTCCAATTCCGCCGCAACAAATGATCCGGAGCAACTCCTCGGGCGGTGTGACCATGCAGAACAATGCAGCGGCCAGCTTAAACAAGCTGCAGCGCCACCGCACCACCACCGAGGGCACCATGATGACGTTCTCCTCTTTCCGTGCCGGCGGCTCCAGCAGTTCACCCAAAAGGAGTGGTTCCGGAGTTGCCAGCAACGTTCAGCCAGCTTTGGCCAATCTAGAGTTTCCTCCTCCACCGCTGGATTTGCCGCCGCCGCCCGAGGAATTTGAGGGCGGGGCTCCACCACCGCCACCGCCGGCGGCCGAGAGTGCCGTGCAGGCAATCCAGCAGCATCTGCATGCCCAGCTTCAACCAAACAATGGGAATCTCAATGGGAATAGCAATGGCAACAATAACAACGACAGCAGCCACAACGATGTGAGCAATACGGCGCCAAGTGTAGAGGAGGCCAGCTCCCGGTTTGGAGTGTCTCTAAGAAAGCGAGAACCATCCACAGACTCGTGCAGTTCGCTGGGCAGTCCGCCAGAGGATCTCAAGGAGAAGCTCATAACCGAAATCAAGGCAGCCGGCAAGGAAAGTGCTGCTCCTCTAGCAAATGGCTGCAGTTCCGGTATCACAGCTGTGGATCCCGTCTCCCTGCTGGTCACAGAGCTAGCCGAGAGCATGAATCTCCCCAAGCAGCAGCAGCAGAAGCTAACCAATGGCAATGGTCAAACCGGTGGCTTTAAGCCGCAGCTCAAGAAAGTTGAAACCAAAAAGATGAGCCCGCCCACGGCCAAGGCGGAGCCAGCCAGCAATATCATTGACTTCAAGGCCCATCTGCGTCGCGTGGACAAGGAGAAGGAGCCGCCGGCGCCAGCACAACCAGCTCCAAATGCGGCCAACAATGCCAACAACTGCAACGCCTCCACGGGCACGCTCAATCGGAAGGATGACAATAACAAGAAGTATGCCCAGGCCATGCAAAAGACTGAAATCAAAATCGACGTGACCAACTCGAATGTGACGGAGGCGGAAACGTCAGCGGCGGCGGGCGAGGGCGATCTCGGCAAGCGACGAAGCACAGGTAGTATTAATAGCTTAAAAAAACTATGGGAGCAGCAGCCGCCGGCGCCGGACTATGCCAGCAGCTCGATCCTTCAGCAGCAGCCGTCGTCGGTGGTCAATGGCGGCGGCACTTCTAGCTCCCAGCTATCACCCAAATATGGGATGATGAAGGCCACTACTACTACTACTGGCACTGCCAAGCCAGGCAACAGGCCACCGCCGGCTGCCCCTCCACCACCGCCCCCGAACTGCACCACCTCCTCCATAGCAACCACTACCACCATTACCACCACTACCACCAGTAGCACCTCCAGTAGAGACAGGCACCAGGCCGGCGGCAGCAGCACAACAATAAAAACCTCTCATTCAACGCAACTCTTCACAGATGACGAGGAGCAACCGCACCACGAGGGTTCCTCAACTGGCGGCACCGGCGTTGGAGCCCCGGACATGACCCAATCGCTGTATGAGCACAAGCCACAGATCCAGCAGAAGCCGGCGGTGCCGCACAAGCCCACCAAGCTGACGATCTACGCCACACCCATTGGCAAGCTTGCCGAGCCAACTGGCTCCGGTTCGACGTCCACGCAGATCTCCAGGGAGAGCATCTTGGAATTGGTAGGACTCCTAGAGGGTTCGCTCAAGCATCCGGTGAATGCCATCGCCGGCTCCCAGTGGCTGCAGCTGAGCGACAAGCTCAACATCTTGCAGAACTCGTGCGTTATCTTTGCGGAGAATGGAGCCATGGCGCCGCACTCGAAGTTCCAGTTCCGGGAGTTGGTCACCCGCGTGGAGGCACAGTCGCAGCACTTGCGCTCCGCCGGCAGCAAGAATGTCCAGGACAACGAACGCCTGGTGGCCGAGGTGGGCCAGTCGCTGCGCCAGATCTCCAATGCCCTCAACAGGTAAATGATAAGACGGGGGATGGACGCGCCCGATCAACAACATTCGGGCAATATCTGGCTGGATGCCGAGGGCAATTTCATCAAGCGCAAGTGATGGGAGTCTGTAGACCCAAAAACAACCATCCAACCACCATCCCCCGTAGATCTAGAAACAGGAAACAGCAAAGCAGGATACGAAACTTCAAGCCCAGCGAAGAAGGACAGGGAGACGATGACGATGACGAATACGACGAGTGGCAGCAACTAAAGGCGGCGGAGGACACCTATGTATCGTACTTGGTAGCGTGTAGTAGTAGCTTCTATTATATATTTCCCTATATATATATATTTATATATATATATCTAGTCAGATCTGTGCAGAGCTCCGACGATAGCTTCCAGAGAAAACACACACAAGAACAATGAGTTGCAAAGCAAAAAATTTGAGTAAGGGGATCGCTCCTGGGAGGATCCTTGTTTTTAATTAATGTAAAGTAAGGGAATCCCAAATCTCAATCCCCCCCCCTCCCCTTCTCCCCTCACATACACACACACACGTATTCGCGCTTTGTTTGTTTTTTATATAGAAGAAGGATAGAAAGACACAAGACATGGCTTAAGAATGAAAAAAGGAATATATTCATAGAATATCTCAATAAACTTAGTAATTACGAAAAGGAGAACGCAATGCATATATATACATTATATTATATTTACATATACTAGTCGTAAAATGTTTTATTATACCTATACATATACTATATACACATACTTCTACAAGATAAAGATATTATATACTATAACGAGACCATACACTCCCCGTATTCCTTCCCGTACTCCTCCTCCTCCTCCGATATCCGGAATGCGTTCGTGCTCGACTCCCGCAACAGCAGCAGCAGCAGCAGCATATATGTCTATGATCATGATCTATATGTACTCGTAGCAAAGCCCAAAGATATTATTATTAAAATGATAAATACGACAAACCTATTACTCATTCAAATTGATAAATATATATATACGATATGTGTATGTTTAGTGGCAAAGACTAAATTGATTTATGTTTAATGCGGAGGCAGAGGAAACGAAATGCTTTTTAAGACGTATTACAAACACAACCAATTGTAATTATTATCTGATATTTTCCAAGGATTTTAAAACAACTTTTTATACGTAAACAAAGAAAAATCACATAAGAAAACCACATTAAAAACCAAATAAATTTTATTTAAAACAAAAACAAAACAAAAATAAAGACAAGACAACTTAAATAGGGCGGTCAAACCTGCAGATATAACGATAAATACAAAAATATTGATGTGCATACCATATACTTTGCCTTTTGCCTCGTATTCCCCAAGATATTCTTCTTTAACCCGGAAACGGAAATCGAAAAACTGGCAAGATAATACCGAAAATGTTGCCCAATATATATACACTCAAAATATATATATATATATATATTTCTGTATCTTCTATGATACACCAAGCGCCTGATATGCGCTGCAGAATAATATCTAAAACGAAAAACGGATCAAAAACAAAGTAACTTCAATGAGAAATAAAAATGATATTTAAAGAATTCCAAAATAAGGTGTTTGGCGCTGGATTTCGGGGGCCCTAGTTATTAATAAAATTTAATTCTGACAGGGATCTCCTGTTCTTTGTGAAATTGTATAATGTAACGTTTTTTTACATTTTCAAAAAATTCCGTTTTCTGTTTGGTATATTTTGGTATCCAAGCTAGTATTGTAAATCGTTGATCCGATGGCATTTACCAACACCTATCGTCCAGCCGACATTCCGATACAACTATCGAACCGACGGCCAATCGAAATTGTTTGCCATCCCTAGAAGACAAGAAAAAGACGAAATAATATATAATAATAGAAATATTACACCGTGATAATATTGCCAAGCATTTGTTTTCCGCGTCTCCGTCGTCGGTAATTGGGCAACGAAGCCACGTCCACAGAAGGTACCACAACCAGCGAGCCCCGAAACAGCAGTAGCATCCGTCACCATCGGCAGCAGTAGCAGAAAATCAGCAAAAGATACGAGCCACCAGACACAAGACACACATCGAAATCCCAAGAAGAACTCTATTTTGAAGAGAGAAAAGCAGTTAGCGGAATGCCACTGTTCGGGAAGTCACAGAAGTCGCCAGTGGAGCTGGTCAAGTCGCTAAAGGAGGCGATCAACGCTCTGGAGGCGGGCGACCGCAAAGTGGAGAAGGCGCAAGAGGACGTCAGCAAGAATTTGGTGTCCATCAAGAACATGCTGTACGGCAGCAGTGACGCCGAGCCGCCGGCGGACTATGTGGTGGCGCAGCTCTCGCAGGAGCTGTACAACAGCAACCTGCTGCTGCTGCTCATACAGAACCTGCACAGGATCGACTTTGAGGGCAAGAAGCATGTGGCGCTCATATTCAACAATGTGCTGCGCCGACAGATCGGTACGCGGTCACCCACCGTCGAGTACATCTGCACGAAGCCGGAAATTCTGTTCACGTTAATGGGTGGCTACGAGGACGCGCATCCGGAGATTGCCCTCAATTCGGGCACAATGCTGCGCGAGTGCGCCCGGTATGAGGCGCTGGCCAAGATCATGCTGCACTCGGACGAGTTCTTCAAGTTCTTCCGGTACGTGGAGGTGTCAACCTTCGACATTGCCAGCGATGCCTTCTCCACCTTCAAAGAGCTTCTGACACGCCACAAGCTGCTCTGTGCCGAGTTCCTGGACGCCAACTATGACAAGTTCTTCTCGCAGCACTATCAGCGGTTGCTCAACTCGGAGAACTATGTGACGCGACGACAGAGCCTGAAGCTGCTCGGCGAACTGCTGCTGGACCGGCACAACTTCACCGTGATGACGCGCTACATTTCCGAGCCGGAGAACCTCAAGCTGATGATGAACATGCTCAAGGAGAAGTCGCGGAACATACAGTTTGAGGCGTTTCACGTCTTCAAGGTGTTTGTGGCGAACCCCAACAAGCCGAAGCCCATCCTGGACATCCTGCTGCGCAACCAGACGAAGCTGGTCGACTTCCTCACCAACTTTCACACGGATCGGTCAGAGGACGAGCAGTTCAACGACGAAAAGGCCTATCTGATCAAGCAGATAAAGGAGCTGAAGCCGCTGCCAGAGGCTTAGTTGGACTTGGACCCGTCCAACTCCTCCCAGCTATAGCTTTGGCTGCGTCCCGGGGGCAAGCGAAGAGCCAGCACCGAACGGAGATTGGAGAACGGATGGTGGAGCGATTGGTGGGTTTAGCAGGATGAACGAACATGTTTTTTTGTGTGTGGGTTAAAGCAAATATATATTATATATACTATATTTTGTGACGATGATGACTACACTTGTGAGTAACTAAACAATAATTTAGACAACAACAACAACACTGATGATACTGATAAATAACGATAAAGCAAAATAGTAACAAAAACAAAGAGCTAAAGTACGAGTAAATAGAGCGTAAAGCCTAAAGAAAATCCCGAACAAAATCCGAAGAACCGAAAGAGAGTTGCGAATTTAACATAGCCTCCTCTTCCCTATATCCTCTGATGATTCCATCTGATCCTCTGCCCATTTTTCGATTCCTATTTAAACATAACTTAGTTGTTGTATTCAGAAATTCTAGAGTTTTTTAAAAACTATCCCTTCCTCCACCTTTGAACCTGCCACGCCCTCAGCCTCTGCCCACACGCCCCCGAAAAAAAAAACGAAACTGAATGAGTTTTGACTTAAAAATGTAATTCCACGCAAAATTCATGAAAAAAAAAAACAGAAAAGAAAACATGGAAATTAAATACCGTATAATAATAATAAGAATAATAATTCATAGTGATAATTGTCTGTGCATCCTTTGGCATGGACTCTATTATATATATATACAAGCATTATATATATATATATAGAATGAGCGAGCGAGAGAGAGAGAGAGCATTCAAAACACAGAGACACACACACACACACACAACACACACATGCATACGTACATAGTTAAAAAACGGGAAGTAAAACAAAACAACAACATTGCGAGCAACATAATAACTATACGATTATTATAATTTATATTATTCCCAAATTAAAGATAACAGCCAAACTAAGTCAGTTTTTTACTGCTAGGTGGGTGGAAGGGGAAGGGGCAGGGGTGGTGGGAAGCACGGGGGCGTAGAGCTTTCCCCGACCTGAGTCATGTGAAAAAGAAACGTCGCCAGTAGGGTTGTCATATTGATGTTTTTATAGTTAAAAAATATATTTATTTATCGGTTGCTCGCTATTTTCTTTGTTTTATAGGTATAAAAATCTAACTACAATAATTCAAATTATTTAAAAATATATTTTTTATTTGCTTTAAATAAAAAATAAACGATCAAGACCCGCACAGCTGTTTTTTATCATTTTTATTTTTTCTACTAATAAATGCATTCGAGTGTACTTAAGCTAAATATATGTATAAAAGTGGTGGGTGGGTGTGCCATCCTGACTAGCGTCGCTTCTTCTTCTCCAGCTTGCGAATCTTGTGCAGTCGCGTTCGCGTTCCCGGCTCCGTCACCTCCCCGGTGTCCATGCTCCCGTCATCCGCCGCCATCAATACGGCAGCTGAGATGCAAACAAACTGGAAAAGTGCACCCACATACAGCCCGTAACGTATAAGCAGGCTAAATAGGTCCTCGTCGCCAACAGTGTCTAATGATGCGGCCGCCGCCAGGCTCTCAGCGGAAGCCGACATCGCTTTTCGGCTTTGATTATAAACAAATTCGCAAGGATGGCAAAAAAACACAACAGAGTTCAACGGATTTGTTTGCGTATCTTTTGTATTGAGTAGAGATGGGATAGCTACATACATGTCCAGCCCTGGTTGTAACTATCGGTAATTGCTACTATCGATAATTACCACCTCCCATCCCCAGCGAATTCTAGTCGCGGCAGGCAAAATCAGTCACTAGTTTTTGCATAATATTTAGTATAAGTCAAGTTTTAAGGATGTCCTGCTTTCGGTTAGCGACTGCCACAGCCCTTCCAGCAGGCAGCGGCAGCCGAGCTCTGCGCCTGCTAGCCAATAGGCCACACAAGGAGCTAGCATTCACTCGACGCCAGTTCGCAAAAGCGGTAGAAGGCGGCAGCGGTTCCAGAAAAACCAATGGCACCTTCAAGTTGGGCCTGCTGGGGGCTGTGGTGGGAGCGGCCACAGGATCCGTATACACCTTCTACACCCGCTGGACGGACGGAAATTCGCACAAGGAACACGAGGAGACGAAGCCGGCGCGCGTGGATGGGTTACCGTCGGGGGTGCGGATAACCAAGCGATACGTTAATCCCAAGGACACTTCCGGCCTCGACATCGTCCTGTTCCAGTTCCAGACATGTCCCTTCTGCTGCAAAGTGCGAGCTTTCCTCGACTACATGGGCATATCTTATTCTGTGGTCGAAGTGGACGCTGTTCTCCGGCAGGACATCCGTTGGTCGTCGGTGAAGAAAGTGCCCATGGTCCTCATCCGCCAGCAGGACGGGCGATATGTCCAAATGGTGGACTCCAGTGCTATTGTATCGCTGATCGCCACCTATCTACAGGACAAGCGCACAGACATCGGAGAGCTGGCGCAGTTTTATCCGCACACCTCATTCTTCGACGACGATGGGAAAAAGAAGCTGGACATATTGAATAAATACTTCCTTATGTATCGCGACCACACACCCAAGGGTGTGACAAAGGAGGCTGAGGAGTAAGTACATCAAAGATTTCCTAAACTTGGCTAATATGATTGATTTATTTCCAGGCTCGATCGCAAGTGGCGAACCTGGGCCGATAACCATCTAGTGCACCTGATCTCACCAAATTGCTACCAGACCATGGGCGAATCCTTGGAGACATTCGAATGGTTCTCTCAGGCCGGCGAATGGGATGTGTATTTTCCCAAATGGGAGCGCGACATGATGGTCTATTGCGGCGCAACGGCCATGTGGGCCATTGCCAAGATGCTGAAGCGGCGCCACAACCTAACCGACGATGTTCGGTCGCATATGTACGACGCTTTAGATCAGTGGACCGCAGAGCTGAAAAAGCGCAACACCAAATTCATGGGCGGCAAGCAGCCAAGCCTGGCGGATCTCTCCGTGTTTGGCGTGCTCAGCAGCATGGAGGGCTGTCAGACGTTCAAGGATAGTCTGCAAAACACCAGCATTGGTAAATCTCAAGCTCTCTTCGAAAAAAATGTCATATTTATTTATACATTTTTCCGCAGGCAAATGGTTTTATGATGTCAAGGCGATTGTGGAGAAAAACCGAGGACAGTTGGTCAGGGAACGGGTCGAGGGCATTAAAGCAGTAGCTTAAGAAGACCATCTGCACCAGTTTTATCCAAAGATTGTTTAAAAAACCCCACTGTTCAATAATATATATACTTTTTAATAAATAAATAAAAGGAAAACAAATTAATTGGTTGTTCCAATAAGTAAAATGCTAATCAGATGTGGTTCGTGTATCAGATATGGTTCGAGTATCAGAAGTGGTTCGGATATCAGGTGTGGATTTTTTAGGGGCAAACTTAAGTTTTTTGAGATTTTTTAGGGGAAGAGCCAATTTTTAACTGCCACACTGATTTTGAGAACGTCGCTGGAAACTTGCAAATCATTTCGTTCGTTTTTCGCCTGACAATTTAAACATAATTATGAGCAGCCTAGGATTTGAACAGTTCCCGGACTACCAGGTGCCCGGCGTTAAGCACCCGGACTTCTCGCCCTACGAGTCCAACGGCGGGTAAGTTTCCCCCTTTCCCGAAACGCCGGCTTGAGATCTCGCGTCTGACTGGAGGTTCCCTCTTGCAGCTCCATTGTGGCCATCGCCGGGGACGACTTCGTGGTGATTGCGGCGGACACTCGTCTGAGCAGCGGCTACAACATCCATTCGCGCAACCAGAGCAAGCTGTTCAAGCTATCGCCCAAGACGGTGCTCGGCTCCACCGGCTGCTGGGCGGACACCCTCTCGCTGACCGGTCTGATGAAGGTGCGCATGCAGAGCTACGAGCACACTCATCTGCGCACAATGACCACCGATGCCGTGGCCCAGATGCTCTCGATCACCATGTACAACCGCCGTTTCTTCCCCTACTATGTGTCCAACATTCTGGCCGGGATCGACAAGGACGGCAAAGGCGTTGTCTACTCATACGATCCCATTGGCCACTGTGAACGGGCCACCTACCGGGCTGGCGGCTCTGCCGGCACCCTGCTGCAGCCGGTTCTCGATAACCAGATCGGTCACAAGAACATTAACCTGCCCGCCGGCGAGCTTCCTCCGCTCACCAAGGAGCGGGCTGTGGCCGTCGCCTCTGACACCTTCATTTCCGCCGCCGAGCGCGACATCTACACTGGAGACTCTGTGCTGATCAATGTCATCACCAAGGATGGCATCGAGGAAAAGGTGCTGCAGCTGCGCCAGGATTAAGCTGGGCATTGGGGTGAAGGCAGTGCTAAGTTAGAGGACATAAAATTTTTGTAATTACCAGAAATAACAACACAAATTCTAATAAACTGAATCTTTGAGATTTCAACAAAAAAGGAAGCTAACTTTGACTTGCCGAAGTTCGTTTATCCTTGCAGTTGACAATTTATTAGGAAGGGTATACAAGAGTATACACTGATGCAGATGAGCATCACTGATGGAAGTGAGCATCACTGATGGAAGTGAGCATCACTGATGGAAGTGATCATCACTGATGGAAGTGAGCATCACTGATGGAAGTGAGCATCACTGATGGAAGTGAGCATCACTGATGGAAGTGAGCATCACTGATGGAAGTGAGCATCACTGATGGAAGTGAGCATCACTGATGGAAGTGAGCATCACTGATGGAAGTGAGCAAAAATTTCCATTCAATTTAGCGGAGACTCAAACCTTTTATATTTATACCTATTTGTTGCCGACAACAACAGCCTATGGCAACAACAACCTTTTTACAACAACATCCCTACAGCAGCCCATCCAAATTTCCGAACATTTCCAAGCAAATTGCCCGTTTCCCAAATTGGGGTACCAGGCGAACAGAAATCAGCAGTAAGCAACTGAAAACTGGTATAAACTGTTATAAAAAGTCCAAGTTTCAAACCATTTGGGAGCCGGCGCAAGTTAGCGGAGACTCAAACCTTTTATATTTATACCTATTTGTTGCCGACAACAACAGCTTATGGCAACAACAACCTTTTTACAACAACATCCCTACAGCAGCCCATCCAAATTTCCGAACATTTCCATGCAAATTGTCCGTTTCCCAAATTGGGGTACCAGGCGAACAGAAATCAGCAGCAAGCGACCGAAAACTGGTATAAACTGTTATAAAAAGTCCAAGTTTCAAACCTTTTAGGAGCCGGCGCAAGTTAGCGGAGACTTTGAATCTATATTTAGGTGTTATTTTACAAAAAAAAAATGTTTTCGGACATGACTAAAAAGATGCGCCTATTAATGCTGATCAAGAATATATATATATAAATGCAAGTGTTTAAAAAATGTCTTTTAGTGCAGTGTGACCAGCTCTCTTCTCTGCATCCCCGCACTTTGCAAACTACACCTGCGGTAAAAATTGTAGTACTGCATTTTAGTAATGCAACCTTTTATTTAATTTATTTAATACATTTTAAAATTTAGGCTATCACTTAAAAAAGTGCATTGTAACTGGTACTTTTCTAGCATTTTACATTTAAAAATTAAACCAAAGAAAAAAACCTTTTTCGTTACCCTCAACTGTAAGTAAACAACTTTTAATTTAAGGTTTTTGCTAGAACTCAGTCCAATGACGAACTTCGACTTTGCGCTCTTAACTCTGCTTTGCTTGCTTTTGCCTTTGGAAAACTCAACGACCGCCACCAAGATGATGGCGTCCCTGGTCAAGCCGGGCATCTTTCGCCATCTGATGTGTCGCAACAACATGTATCCGCGCAGCGGCGTTCTCCGCTTCCCGGTATCCGATGACCATGTCTTCTGGTCGGCTCCCTATGCGGACTACTGTCCACCGGTGTATACGGCGCCACATATCGGCGGACAAGTCTGGGCCGATCCACCGCTGCCCAGCGAAGCGTTCTATCCGCAGTGGAATCAGCTTGATGGCCAGGTAAACCGGGAATCCTTTCACGGCGCCTACGAGGTAAAGGACGGATTGCCTCTTAATCCGATTGGACGCACCGGTCTAAGTGGCCGAGGCTCACTGGGCAGGTGGGGTCCCAACCATGCCGCTGATCCCATCGTGACGCGCTGGAAGCGGGACGCCGAGGGAGCCATTGTGGCCAACTCAACCACCGGCAAGTGGGTCTACGGAAAAAAGTGCATACAATAAATACCATTCAATTCCATTTCAACTATATACTTAGAAACATCATTCAAATGGTGGCCATCCAGCGATCGGACAACAAACTGTGGGCCATTCCTGGCGGTATGGTTGATCCCGGCGAGAATGTAAGCGTCACCCTGAAGCGTGAATTCACCGAGGAGGCTTTGAACTTCACGGATAAGGCAAACATGGTGGAAAAGTTTTTCCGCGAAGGCGGTGTTCACGTATACAGCGGCTATGTGGATGACTTTCGGAACACGGACAACGCCTGGATGGAGACAACGGCTCTTAATTTCCACGACGAGGATGGCAAACAGGTGGGCCAATTGGAGTTAATGGCCGGCGATGATGCCACCAATGTGCGCTGGACGGACGTGGACTCACAACTCAAGTTGCACGCCAATCATGCGGATATCGTTCGGGAAGTGGTTATCCTTCGGAATGCACACTGGTAGCCATACAACATTTGAGATTTATATTTGTCCTAGTTAAGAATTTGATAAATAAATATAAAACATCCTTTTTTTCGTTTTCTTTATTTTATTGATTTCAGACCATAATCATATAACCATAGGTTCCACTGGGTGAGTTACAAATTAAAAAACATTTCATAGAAAACAAACCCAACTCTCAATTTTGAAAAAGGATGCGCATGCATTAATCGAACTAGAGTTGAGTGTGTTGTGAATGCTACAGGTGGTTCTTGGCTTACAGGCTCTGCACAAACTGGCACATCTCTGGGTTCGAGTTGGCCACATTATTGAACTTGTCCGGATGGTGGGCTCGCACCACCTTGACGAATTCCACGGCGTTATTGATGACATCCTTGTCGGTTATTTGCTTCAGCTGCAGAGCCTGAAGAATGACGTACAGCATTTGCTCGATATGATCCACAATGCTGGGCGCAGCCTGGGTGTAAAGCAGGTGAAACGTTTTCAGCACAGCGTCGTATTCCTCGAAATCCTCGCGCAGTGGCAGGTGGGAGAGAAACACTGGCAAAACGGCAATCAGCGGCACAGCCTGAACATTGGTCAGAATCAGGCGCGCCACAGCTCCGCAAATGTTGTCCAAAGCCGAGGGAGCCGTCTCCCTGGCGATGGCATCGGAAAGGGTTTGCAAGATCGTTGGATATGACCTGTAAAAAGGAATTATAATTATATACATTTCCAAGATACAGAATCTTGTACGCGTTGACTCACTCAAATGACTTCTCTTCGGAATGCATCACCAACTCCCCGAGGGCGTAGTATGAGTTCTGGCGGGATTTGGGATCGGTATCGTTGGCCCCGGTGAGGAACAGGGGACAGACAGTGTCAAAATATGTGGCGGAACAGCTGCCCAGGCTCTGGAAGGAATCCGCCAGAGTTCCGTAAATGTACGCCCTGTGCTCCGGCTGATCGTTCTTCTTGGCCTTGGCCTGCAAAATCCACATAGAAAATGTATTAATTATGGCTTTCAAACTAAACAGTCGCCGGTACTTACCAGTTTTTGGGCCAAGAAGTGGTATAGACGGCCAAAGTATAGCGAGAATGTCTGCGGGTCAAGGGCAAAGCCAAACGAGGCCACCAGATTGGCGGCATTCTCCAAAATCATATCGGCATGCTCGCTTTCTTCCTCCGAATCATCGTCGTCGCCGCCGCCGCCGCTTTGGTCATTAAACTGGCAGGTCATTTTGTGTTGGAACGAGTCCCTGATGCAGCCGTAGATCAGTTCGGCACACTCCTGGTTCGGCATGGCCGGCTGCTTGTTGGTCCTGAAAAGTTGACCCACTTCATCGAGCAGATGGACGAGCACCTCCTCGGACTCATCGTTGCGCATCATTGCTGAGAACTTTGGTATCAAAATTTCGCAGGCGCGAGTTACACCGGCCGTGTCACCCGACCTGTTGAGAGCAGCCACAAACTCGCAGAGGGCGGTGGCGGATGCTGTCCGTATGTCATCGGCGGCATGGTCAAGTGTCTTGTAAACATTCTCAAAGGCTGTCTGAAGATAGGGGGCAAAGGCGGCACCAGTCTCGGCGGCAAAGTCACGGAGCGTGGAAATGGCCACCTCCTTCTCAACAATAAAATCATTTTCCACCTGGTAACCATCCAGTTCGTCATCGTCCTCGTCGTCGGTATTCTCAAGATCAATTTCATCATCGGCGCTGGCCGCCTCAATAATTAAATCCCGTTCTGGTTTGTCGGGCAGACACAGTTCAACTTCTTCGGTGGAAATCACAGTTTGAATAAGCCGTGGTATGACCTGGGGGAATACTTCGGCCATGCCCTCGTTAACCACGAAAGAAAGAGCGCCGATCAGACCGTAAATAGCGCGACGGAAGTCCGGATCGTTAGGCCCCTCCTCCAGCATCATCAGACAGTAGTTCTTTGTGTCATTGGCCAACGGCAGGAAGTGTTCCTTTCCCAAGACGCGGGTAATCGAAGCTAGGGTATCGATGGCCTGCAGCCGCAGCGGTGCCATCTCCTCTGAGACATCCTTAAGCAGAAATGTCTTTAGAATCTCGAATATTCTTGGAAAGTATGGCGCCAGGTGCTCCTTTGCTGCCTCGGATGCACTGGAAACGCTGCACAATGCGTATTCCCGAATCTTTGCTGAATTCTTGGGGTCCAGTATCTCGAAGAGGCGTTCCATCAAAATGGGCAAATGGGGAACAATTTCCTCTCCTAGATTTTCACAAAAGGTGTCCAAAGCATAAAACATGCGACTGACACTCTTTGGCTCCGGCTGTCCACCCTGTGATAGAAATATTGTAAAATATACAAAAAGAATCGGCTTAAAGGCTTACCCTTAGTTCCACTACCAGCTGGTGCAAATAGTCAAATAACACTGGCAAAATCAGCGGTGCATACTTGGCAATTTCCGGCTGCAAGTACTCGGAGAACTGTCCGAGGGCAAAGAATGCCGCCACACGCACCTCGGGCGCACTGTCAACGATGCCGCTCTTGATGATATTCAGCATTACCTTCAGATACTTGTGGCTTATGGTCTCTGAGCAGCCTTCGGCTATCATGCCCATGCTGTGGTAGGCGGCGCTCCTGCGCATCGGGTCTGGATTCTGCAAGGCCGGCTCCAGCAGCTGCAGCAGTGGTGCAATTAGCTTCTCCGGCGGCATGTGAATGGCCAGCAGGTCAAGCGTCTGCATAGCTGCCGTCAGCGGACGGTTGGAGCTCTCGTCTACGAAGTAATCCTCATCGTCATCGGGATCAGTCTCGGTGCACATTATCTCAAAGATAACGGCCAGGGTGGGCTCCAGCAGCTTCTGCTTAACAATAGCCTTCTTTTTGGTGTGAACCAGACTCCCGAGGAAGGCAATCACCGGAACGCGAATGCCATCCTCAATCTGTCTATTGCTCGCCGTCATCAAACAGAACTCCAGCACCAGCTTTACGTTGGTGAGCAGATGGGGAACATATTGGACCATGCTGTCGAATATATCAAAGACGGCAAGAAACCGCTCGGGGTTACCCTTCAGGGCGATCGCTTGCAGGGCTTTGGTGACGAGCGGCAAGACCTTGACTACCGTCTGCTCGGTGGCAGTATTACCCGCAATAAATGGCAGCAAATAGCTGGTACCCGTTATCATGTTGGACACGGTGGATGTGGTCAGGTCGCCCTGAGTCTCTGCAGCCAAAAGAACGTTGGAGAACAACTGGCAAATGGTTTCCATGTGGACGCTGAACTGATCTGGTGCAGCGGCCGTTAGCGTGGCATAGGTCGAGGAGCCCCGTTCACTCTCCTTGGGATCAGCACTGCTGCAGCGCTCGAAGATGTAGTTGAGCAGTTCGGGCATCCAAGAGCCAGTCTTGTCCGCCTCATGCTTCACCAAAGTGGCCACAAACTGGGCCACAGCGTTCCTCACGCTCTTCTCCTCCTCCGCGACGAGGGCCTGCAGCATGTCCCGCTTGATGCTGAGGGGAGGGAATACAAAAATAAGGGTTTCAGCTAAGAGGGATGAGCGTGGAACTTACGCGGCTTTGTGCTCAGCGGGAACCGTCAACCACTGGCGCAGCTTCGAGAGGCGCTTGTTCAGGAGCACGGCTGCATAGTGGCGTATCTGGGTCTCCTTGTTGGTGTTTACAACGTGAACCAGACAAAGCAGACTCTCTGGTGTCTCATAGGCCTTCATCAAGGCGGCCGTCGACTGTGTGGAAGGAAGGAATGAAAAATGTTGTTTTATGGCAATATGGCCGCATATTTTTAGCATAAACAATAAAACATAAACAATTCCCTGAATTATCACGAATAAGGCACCTGCACAGTGGTATCTTCATGTGTAGCTATTTATTCGGAAATTTATCCATCATTAGCCTGAATAAGGCCCACTGTGCCATAGACACATTCCACACATTCGCACCCGTATTGGAATGTGCACATGCCGCCCTCCTCTAATAATTTCGCTGCCTATATACAGAGACATTAAAGTACATATAGAAGTTTGCGGGAATGCTAATTGAGCCACGCGGTCTGAGTTAACGGGAGTCTAGGCCTTAGGGGAAGGGGGATGCCAGTTTGTGCCTGCAATGGCGGCGCCTTGGACGCAAAGGATAACCTCCTTTCGAAGCTCCCTCCACATTCCCCCCCTTTATTAATTTCAACATTATACTTACCGCGCGAATTTTGTCTGTGTCGGTGCACAGGAGCCCATTGATAATTTCTATCATAGCTTGCTCCATCGTTGCTGCTTTATGTGAGTCCAATCCAAAACCAGATGAAAGTCCTCTGTTGCCGGGAGAGAATTCGCGAAAAACTGACCAGGGACGAGAGATCGTGCACGTTTTGCCGCCCGTAGGGATGGAAAAACACTGACAACTTTGACAATCGGAAATCGAAAATACAAGTGCTCAGCCCTGTGACTTATCGGCTGCCTATCGACTCCATGTTTAAACTAAGCAACGCGCCATTTTCGTTGTTGTTTACGTTTGTGTGCGAAACAACTGCAAAAGGACGACGCGGAATGGACAAAAGCGGCGGCAGCTTGGGCAATGGCAGCTCCATGGACCAGAACTCTCTGGGAATTTTGAACATGGACAATCTCAAGGGTAAGCAGCGGTGTGCTTCTGCAGGAATGCCTGGAATGCGGTGTAATTTGGCAATTTTCGCAGTCTTCGGTGACCTTTCCAGCTTTAGCAAGAGCCCACGCAGGAGCCCGGCCAGCCGGGAGACGTCCGGAGTCCACGAGCGTTTGCGTGCAGAGCGCATGCGCGCCTTGGAGACTTTGGAAAAGCCCCGACCATTGCGCCCCAGTCAAGCCAAGGCGAACTCTGCTGCTCCGGCAGATGTGCCTCGAACAGCACGTCCCAGCCAAGCAAAGGCGGCCTCCATTGGCATGAAACCACGCTCCAGCACGAATATCTCGGAGATGGTTACGGATGAGACCATCGATCTGAACAGCAGCGGCTCCTTTGCTCTGGTTACGCCCGCCCAGAAGGGCACCAATATCTCCTTTGAGCCCGCCGAGATCACCGGCAGGTCGACGCTCTGCCAGGGCGAGAAACAGCGCCGCAGGGCAGAGAAGCCCTCGCTTTCTGTAGCCGAGATACTCAAGTCCTCGTTTGTGGAGAAGGCTCGGCTGCTGGAGAAGAAGCTGCAGGATACCAGTCAGCTGGAGGCCAGCTATCATCTATCGCGGGTGAATTCCAGCAGCCTCACCGACTCCTTTAACTGCTCGCGCAGCTTACCTCGCACTGCGGATATGAGTGACCTCAGTTTGAACGGCGGCGGCGGATTCTCCTTTGGCTCTGTATCAGCGGCAGGCGCTGGTCAAGGCCTTCAGCTGGACGAGAGCTTTGCGCCCGCTGAGCTGATGCAGTCTAAGCTAGTGCTGGGCGAGATCTCCTGGGCGCAGGAGTTCACCGCCATGCCGACGGCCACAATGAGCACGCAGGCGATGCAGAAGATAGCTGCCCCGCCGCCCACATCGGACATAGAGACCTCCGTGTCCAAGTAAGTGATAAGGATTGGCTATTAAATATTTTATTTTCACTAATATGGTAAATTGTTTGATTTCAGCTCGGTTTTGGCCGGTGATCCGGACTTCTCGTTGGGCAACTACTTCCAGACGCGCTCAGAGAATATCTGGAACATTGTCAACAATGATAGCCCCGATAGGTCGCGCCCTGCTCCTCCCTTAATGGAACAGAATCGCAATCAGTCGCTCGACAACGTCGGCTTGAAGACACCGCAGCCGGACAACAAGACGTACACCAAGGCGGAGGCCACTGCGGACTCCAATCTGGGGCGCAACCTGATGCGTAAGATGCAGCAAGATCGTATTCAAACTGCAATGCAGGCGGAGACCAGGCGTCCGCCCTCAAGCTCCGAGATCCTGAGTCTCTCGGCCATTGACAAAGCTCTACGGGATCTCGATGTCAATTCAGACACATCCACTGTGGATGTGGTGAACCGGCTGTGGGAGCACGGTCGTGGTAATCCTTACGAGGAGGAAGGCGAAGATGAGAACAAGGAGAACCAGGAGAACCGCACCTTGTGCGGCTCCAGCACTAAACACACTGACACCATGAGCTTCACAGATTCCGTGCTGAACTCGACGGACTTCCGCCACCTGCAGCAGAGCATCTCCCGCAAGCCGCTCAGCCCGCTGGCGGACCAGCCGCAAATCACCATCAGTCGTGCCGATACCGATCCCGTGGAAGCCGAGGCGGACATCGATGAGTGGCCCTCGACTCCGATTAAGAATCCAAATCGGCGAGTAAAACGCACCAAAATCTCGCCCAGAACTGCTAGTCCGGCGAGCAGCGATGGAGTTCGTCCGTTGACCGGCACCGAAGACGAAACCGAGGACGATGACAAAACGCCAGTGAACCCGAAGAGGGTCTCGATCGTGGCAGCGGGTCTGCTACCCCGCAAACCAAACTCCCTAAGCAGCACCCGCCTGGATGGATGCGATGCAGCGGTGGCCTCTACCACCGATCGCGAGTTTGGCATATCGCCAAATCTGGCCAAGAACCTCTCACCCATGTCCTCGCCTCGCAGTTGTCTCTCCTCGCCGCTGCTGGACAGCACCACCTGTTCCGAGCGCCGCCAGTTAACAAGCGGAGCTGCCCGCAAAGCCAACTCCTCGCCGGCGGGGAGCGAGGCCAGTTCCACTGTCAGCGGTTATACAACCGGCGGAAGGCGAGGACCGGGGGGTTCGGCTACTACTATTCCACGCAGCCTGTCACGCTCCTCCAACTCCAGCGAGTTCAGCCACCGGGATGGGAAGCTACTGCCGCTGAAGGTGACGCATACCAGCCTGTGCTGGGGCAGCACCAAACTGCGTACGGACATGCGCAAGTCCATGCAGGTGAAGAATACGGCGGACAAGCGCCTGGTCATCCGTCTGGGCATCCAGGGACCCGGCTTTCAGCTTGTGGGCGGCGACAGCAGCACCATCACTCTGCAGGCCATGGAATGCCGCTCGGTGATGATCAATTTCTGTCCCACTGTTTGCGGAGCAGCCATTGGAGCATTGTCCTTTTATGCTCCGCTTGGATCGCAAACCAGCAGCAGTCAGCCGGCTTTGGAGATACCTCTCTACGGCTACGGAGGCAGTGCGTCCATTGCCATACAGGGTCTGCTCAAGGGTCCCGTGGGTGCAAGCTTCCTCACAATTGGCGATGTCTGCGACCTGTCCGCCGGACCGCTGACCGCCAGCTTGCGGTTCCAAAACAAGGGGCCGCTGACCGCTTTCGTGGGCATTTCTGTGGACTCCACCGTGCTGATGAAGCTGCGTCTGAGCGAGGCCTTTGAGGTTCGGCCCAGCCGCATGATTCTACCGCCAAACAGCGAGGCCAACATCCAGATCGTCTTCCGGCCGAATCGCGAGGACATGAAGAACATACTGAAGAAGACCGCCCAGGTGCTGACGTTGGCCAACATGCGCATCTTCTGCGGCGATGAGCCGAACAGACAGCGCATGCGCAACTTGGTCCAGCGGATGAGTGGGCGGCAGCGCGAAAAGCTCACCTCACCGATGTTGGACAGCATTTGGAGCAGCTTTCCCGAAGAGCAGGCAGTCCGAAATATTGGAATGCTCAACGAGCCGCCAGAATTCATACTCGATCTGGTTACCGTGGTGAGGATCATCGATGTGGCACTCACCCTGAATCGAGATTTCGACGAGTCGGCCGAGAACTCGCTGCTGTTTCTGCCCGAGGCTGATGAGACTGTTCTATTCCGGACCATCTGTGCCGCCAATTCGCCAACGCCCACGCAGAGCCATCTCCTGGACCCAGTGGACGAGCTGTTGGAGGCGGACACCACCACCATTATGCCCATGGATCGCAACTGGTCCGTGCAGCCCGCTTCGTTGGAGTTGGGTAGCGGCGACGTTTCAGTGGCCACTCTGTCGGTGACCAACAGTTTCAGCTCCCGCCAGCTCATCGAGATTAACTGCAATGTCCCGGATTTGGTGCGGATCAATCCCAGCGAATGCTATGTAGCACCGGATGGCGGACAGGCGGAGATCGAGGTGCGGCTGCTGCGCTCGCCCAGACGCCCAGACGTGCTGGTGAAGGAACCACTTATCACCGTGTCCATGGAGAACGAGCGCATCAATGTTCCAGTTAGCTTTAAGTTTTGAATATTTGTGCCTATTTGCGCTTAATGCGTTTGCTCTTTTGTAGTTGTATTGTTCAAAGAGAAATGTAATTGAAGAATAAGGAAAAGTCTTAAATAAATATTACCCTTGCATGTTTATCATTAATTATTTTGTGTTTTCCTAGAATAATTACAGTCCGAAGCTTGCAAAGCCATGAAGGATCCATTTCCGATCCTATAAAGCATATATGTATATTCTTGATCAGCATTAACAGGCGCATCTTTTTAGCTATGTCTAGAAACATTTTTTTTTTTGTCATTTTTTCAAAATTTGATAAGGGGTTACATCATTAAAATTTTTGATTTTGATAAAAAATTGAATTTTCAAAATTTTTAAATGAAGTATGCAGATTTATTAACTGTAGAAAATTTTGCACAGAACAGTTTTCCGATTTAAAATTAATGCTCTTTTGGCCGAGTTATGATATTTTGAATTTTAAAAAAATTAAGAAGTTTTTTAATATAAAAAATTAGATTTTATAATACAAAATAATATTTTTCTATGTCAAGGAATCATTTTTGACCCCATAAACCATATATATTCTTGATCAGCATCAACAGGGGAATCTTTCTAGACATGTCCGGAAGAAATCGATTTTTTGGCCATTTTTGCGAAATTTTATAAGGGGTTACATCATTAAAATTTTCAAAAATCGACAAAATTCTTAATTTTTTTTTAATTAAATTTAGTATGCAGTTTTGTTAACCTAGAAAAAACTAGCATAGAAAAGCTTTCCGAATCGAATTTAATGCTTTTTTGGCGTAGCTATGATATTTTTAAGCTTCAATTTTCCCAAAAAATATGGATAGATATCATATTTTTGTACTTAGTTATAATATTTTTAAACATCAATTCTCCCCAAAATGATCATATAAAATTAGAAATAAATATTTACATTTGAATACCTCTTTAGGGATATAATAATTTGAATCAGAGCCATTTTTTGCTTAGTTATTATATTTATATATCTTAATAATTCAATTTCAAACTGGAAGGGTATACAAACTCCGGCCTGCCGAAGTTAGTGTCCTTTTTTCTCTTTTTAAATAATAACGTACTGATAATTAATAGTCGATACTTTTGCCAGAGGTATATCGATATATCGATGCAGCAGAGCAGAAACTATCGCTCGGCAGAAATATCGTCCTATTCATACACAAAGTTAAAACCCATTAAAAAAATATAAAATGGACGCAGACAGCAGTGGATCCGCGCAACGAGGTATATATATTATATAGCCAATTGATCCCAACGGATCCCAGCTTATACGGCCCAGTGCTTACAATGTTTTTGTTGTTTTTTTTCTAGTGTCAAAAGAGTGTGAAATGTGAAGTGGAAGAATGCAAACAGACCACAGGATTACCAGACAATGAAGCCAGGACAATGCTTCCCGCATGGACCCAAAGCTGCTCCACTGGAATGACTAACCCTGATCTTTTCATGTAGATTCCCAGGCCTCCAGATCGAGGTCCCGGCGCGAAAGGGAGAAGTATCCCAGGGAGAGGGAACGTGAGCGGGAACGTGAGCGGGAAAGGGCACGAGAGGAGCCCAAGGTTCCCTACTTCTCCGATGCGGTACGCGAGCGGGATCGGAGACTGCGTCATAGATCTCCGCGGACGGCACCAACCAGGCACCGCTCTCGCTCCAAGTCGCACTCCTCCGAACGGGATAGCCGGTACAGGAGGCAACGTCGCCGCTCGAGGAGTCGAAACCGCAGCCGGAGTCGCAGCAGCGAGCAGCGGAGAACACGTCCACGGAGTCCGCCGCCAAAGATTATCAACTACTATGTACAAGTGCCAGCACACGAGTTCTATGTAAATATATATTAATTAGAAGGCAGTTTAGTAATTCATTTAATTTAAATATTTTTCTTTTCTGTAGGGAATGTACAGTCCATACCCACCGAGGTTCGGGTACCCAAGGCCACCTCCACCTCGTCTGCCACACTTTCCCCCATCTGGCCACCGGAGATATGCTCAGCGAGCGCCGTTTACTGGAGGAGCACCTCGGTACAGCTACAGGAACGCGTGGCAGCCACCAAGATAAACACTCGCCGCCATTCGACATAATTACAAATTTATTTACAGTCGTGTGTTTTGTACATTTAAAATTAATAAATACAATATATTTGAAACTATATACGGGGAGAGAACATAAGATATTGCAAACGGAGAAAGTTGATTAAATCATGAGCAAATTGTGACGGCGGCAACAAAGGGTCACACGAGATAGGAAGTTACTTAATCCTACGAGGGATAACCATATAATTACGACTTTATACATGTACACATGGTTGGTTTGGTTGGGGGGGAACGGGGGGACTAACACTAGCGACTCTCTCCTAATTACGATATTTACGCTTTGTCAATAAATTATAAAAATAGATCATTTGTTGTGGCATTATACTAAAAACAGAGAACAGCAATAGGCTGCCCCAGCGGTTAGAGCTCGACCCGGGGACGAAACTGCAGCCGGAGCGGTGGATCCCTGAAGCGCCACCGCGTCACATAGACGAACTTCAGCGTGTGATCTTTGCCCAGCAGCTCCTCGTTGCACAGGATGTCGATCTGCAATAGGCAAGAGGATTAGAGAATACTAGAAGAATGGATATTTCTGACTGTTTACCTCGCGGTACTTTTCGATGCCGTTGAGGATCTTCTTGGCCACCAGCTTCTTGAGGTGCGTTATCGTCGCCTGCGAGCTGCAGCGGATAAAGCGCCTCTGCAGGTTCTTAAAGTTATTACTGATGCACTCCAGACACACATTGACCTGCTCGTCCAGGCGATGGAAATCGGACTCGGCGTGCGCCTCCATCACCTTTTCGTTGTCGTCCTCGTGGTTTTGCGTGATGTCTTTCGGACACGGCATGTTTCTGCTCTTGTAGAAGTCCCGCTCCCGGCGCGATTCATCTGAAAGTTGCCAAACAGGAGGTTAGCACAGATATTTGTGCATTTCGAAACCATGAAACCGTACCTTCTTGCAGTTTCGGCACCAGTTTGTACACAATATCCTGCATGGTACGATCGAAGCTGATGTATTGCAGGGGATGGGACTGGTGGATGATGTTGTCGCAGGTGGGGCAGGTCTTTTTCTCCTCCAGGTGCTTCACCAGGCAGCTCTTGCAGACTGAAAGAGATGTGAAACATTTTGTTGGACAGGTGCTCTCTCTCCAGCTTCACCAACACTCGACTCGCCGCCACACAGGCGACATTGACGGCAAACTCACATGTGTGCAGACACTCCGTCACCGTGGTGGCGTCGATGAAATAGCCACCGCAGATTTTGCACGTGATGTGCGGGTTGATCGTCTTCAGCTTCACGCGCCGCTCCATGCTGGCCCGACGACGTCTGTTCGTGCTGCTTCCCGCTGTATTCCTAAATTATAGCCCTATAATTTTGCCGATTGCAGCAGGCTTGCCTGCGGATTTTCCGCTCTCCCACTCCCGGGCGGAAAACGTCCAAAAAAAAGCGGCCGGGCTAGCTTCCGCTTATGTGGAAGACTCGCGTACGGGAAAACGGGCACTCGGCATTGTGGCCAGCGGTTCTGGGGCTCGATTTGTTCAGTTTTTAGTTGTAATTTGAAACAAATAAAAAGAAATCACGACTAAATTGTGTGTACGTGTGAGCTAGGGATGGACGATAGTTGCGTACCTGTTACAACTATCGTATTGCAAAATGTGCGTGTATTAGTAAAAGGTTGCCGGATCGTTGGCATAAAAGCAGTATTTTTGTATGCATTTAGCCGATCATTAAGAATTAGTCCGATCTTTGGTAAGAAGAAACGTGTATATATTCCAAAAATAAATGGTTTTGTTTCATATTTATAGCTGCAAGTTAACATATAACAAAAAGTTTACATTTTCCTAATATCGCCACTATCGCGATAGTGCACCCAAATATATTACGGGTATTCTTTGTGTGGGAGTTCTAGGTTCTCCGCATTTTTCAACTTGTTTATAATTTAAGAACGTTTTTAAGCAGGAATAATTTTATTATTAGTTAGTCTGAATTAAATCAATCATAGAATTTAAAATCCTCTTCATAACATGTACTGGGCATATTGCGGATGATATTTTTCGATGTAGTGCTTGACAAAACCACACTTTACATTTAAAAAGTATCCGTTTAAAAGGGCAAAGTCAAGGGCTGACTTCGCCAAAAGTTTGCCCAATCCACGTCCTGAGAGTTCCTCGGGTACTTGCGTACTCCATATCGTCATTACTTGTTTATGAATGCTAAATAGTAACACCGCTTGCATTCCTTCAACATCAATGTAAAATTGGCCCCTGGGGAAACATTTAAGCAAAGTCAAGTTGAAGACATAAACTTATTGTGGCAATAGTACCTGTTTTTATTGACCTCAAATGTCGATGGCGAACGAGCCTGTCTGTGCCTGTAAGGACAGGTCGGTTTCAACAGGTTCTCAGTGCGACTCATGTTTGGGTTGCCGGAGTAAACTGTAGAGTAAATTGAATATGTTCGTCTGGCTGTGTTAAAAATCAATCCATTTAACTGCCGGAATTTGGAAAACATCTCTCAATTTGGAAGAACAACACGAAAAAAGTTAGGAAATCAGAAAGATCTGCGATTCTGACAGCTTTCAGTGTGACCTTCACGCTTTTATGGATTTATCCTGAATTTGCCATGCAGCCATCAGCTGTTGTTGTTCTGCTGAATGTTTTTGTTGTCTGGCTTCTCTTTGAGGCGTAGTTTTTTGTTTTTTATTTTAAATAATTGCATTACTCATAGTTTAAAACGAACAAATGGCGCTGGTGGATCACGACTCCTGGGACATTGAGTACGAGGGATGCGAGAGGCTGCGCCACCAGCTGCTAGTGCAGTTGAACCAGCGCCAGCAGCTCGGCCCCAAGGAGAGCCAGTACGTCCAGTTGTCGGCCAGCATACGGTCCGGGCTGGAGCAGCTGGGCCAAGATATGAAGCACCTCAAGGTGGTGCTGGACAATGCCATCACCTGGGAAACCAGCCCCGAGGAGGAGCTCCAGCAGCGCCGCATCGACTACGACCGACTCACGTCCCAGCTGCGTGGAATCCGTGAGAAGTTTGCCAATAGCACTCGTTCTGATGTGCGAAACGCTGTAGCCACCACCAGCTCCGGCTCGGCCTGGCAAGATCAGGATCTTCGGCCGGGACAGGCACCGGCACCCATGGACGCTGAGGCGCTGAAGCAGCGGAAGATGGAGATGCTTGCGCAACAGGATCAGGGCCTAGAGGCTCTCTCGGTTACCCTCTCGCGACAGCGGGAGCTGGCCACCCAGCTGGGCAACGAAGTGGAGGACCAAAACAGTGAGTTAGTGAATCTCCTTGACTGGCTTTTACTCATCGTTTTCACTTGCAGACATCCTGGACAACCTGGCCAATGCCATGGACCGCGTAGAGTCGGGCGTGCAGCGGGAGACGCAGAGTATCGGTCAGGTGAACCGGCGAGACAGCACCTGGGGCTACTGGCTGGTCATCATCGCCCTGTTCGTGGCTATTATCGTGGTGGTCTTCGTGTAGTGCTCATTCCAGTTGTTATGCTTCCCATCTATATCTATGTCTGTTCTGTAGTTATCCCAAAGTACCCATCAGAGTATTTATACATTAATTAAATAGGATTTATAAGTATCTAAGTTCGCGGATCGTTCCTTGCAACAGGTTTTATTTTTGTGTCGTTACATTACGGTTAACAGATGTACAGGTGTTTCTTTATCTACTTAAGCCAGATCGGAGGCGTAGGGCACGCCGGCCAGGTGACCGATAGCGCCGACCGCCAGCTTGGAGCCTCCCACCTTCCGGGCTGCCGCCTGGACCTCTGACTGCGAGATGCCATCGATGGCACTGATCAGGGCATCGGCCTCCTGGACGTTCCTGGAGAGCGCCGCCTGGCGACCGATCTCCTTTATCAGACCACCGTCCGACGAGTACTTCGAAATGATGCGCGCCTTCAGCAGAGCCTTGCCACGAGCCACATCCTGGTCGGACACCGAGGCCGACTTGAGGCCGCGCACCAGGAACTCCACAGTCTTGCCAACATCCTTGGCATCGGCGGACACCACAAAGCCAAAGATACCGGCATCCGAATAGCTGGAGTTCAGAGCCTTAACAGAGACACCCGCGCCTCCAGAGCTGTTGACAGCCTCGCCGTAGAGACCAGCCGAGATGCCGCGCTTGGTGGCAGCGCCGGCACCAACAGCCTGCTCCAGGATGGCGAAGGCCAGAGCCTCCTTTTGGTTACCGGCGGCACCGCCCTGTCCAGCCACGGCAACGACGGCCCTGTGTCCGGCAGTGTCCTTGCGGGCATCTCCACCGTACCAGTTGGCAGAGGCAGCCTTGCCGCCACCGCTGGGGAACTGCAGGGTCTGGGCGAAGCCAGCCAGAGTGTTGTTGTCAATGCCAACGCCCACGACGGCAGCACGGCCGGCAGCAAAGTTCTGGGCCGCGAAGTGCAGCAGGCTCTCGGTGGAGAGCTTGCCCAGCTGGAAGCGTGGCGAGTAGATCGAGTTGCCCAGACCGTTGCGGAAGGCGGCCTTGTGGACGAGCTCAATTGCGCGTTGCTGCCAAGGATCGAAGGATTAATAGAGGTCCTTGGGAAAACTGCATTTGCACACCTACCTCTGTGGAGACAGCATCCAGCTGGTTAAGCAGAGTCTTGGCGTTGTCCTTCAACTCCCAGGGCTTGAAGGCAGGCTGCAGCAGATCCTGCAGGTAGCGCAGTCCGGTTTCAGCATTATCTGCGGTGGTGGTCACCGTGTAGCCAACAACCTCGCGGTCGCCCCAGGTGGTCAAGGTGCCGCCTACCTGCTGGATGTTGCGGGCAATGGCGAAGGCGCTCGAGTTCTGGGTGCTTAGACCACCGGCCAAGCGAAGCAGGTGGGAGGCGCCCTGGGTGTCGTAGGCCTCGTTGCGGGAGCCAGCGCTGCAAGGAAGCAATTAGAGGGGAACTCACAATGCCGGCAACCTAGAAAGACTCACCCCAGCACCAGCGACACACGCGAAACGGGAACGGTGGCGTCGGCAGTGGCCACCACCAGTTTGTTCTCCAGCACCTTTACGCTCACGGGGGAGATGTCGCCCGCGGCACGGGGGAGGGTGGCATAGCCTCGTTTCTGTCGGAAAAAAGGACGAGATCGGCTTATTCTAAAAGCGTTCGCATTTGTTTAGATGGGAACTTTTACAACGATTTACGTAACACGAGCCTCCCTGTGGGGAGGCTTTGTTGCCGTAACTTTTGTTGGTTAAGTCGAGACTTACGGCGATGGCGCGCAGGAGCGTCGTCTTGCTAGCGTTGCAGGCCATGGCGTGTATTATGTTCTAATTTCTTCTATTTGCTTTTTCAGCAATTAACGAATAATCGCAGAGCGAAAATTTTTACTCCGCTGTCGTTCGCGCTAGTGTGGCCGTCGCACAGAGTTGCACAAATCCCCGCTCCAATTGGAAAACAAACTGTCACACTTAAATGTCGCAGTCACGGAATATGTGATCACTGTTTTGATAAGAAAATAAGATTTAATAAAATCAATCAAGCAAACATTTCGACTGTTGATTAAATGTTACTTTTATATTTATTAACTTTTTAAGATTTATCAAACACTACAAGCTGTGTGGGGACTTCTTAGACTATCATTTCGAGGTCACGGGCATAGCTGAGCACCTGCTCGGCCAGTTCCTCCGATGGCAGCAGTTCCTTGGGCTTAACGCTGCGGTCCGTAAAGCTGTAGTCGCCGTTGGATTCCAGCTTCCACTGCCGCTTCTCGCCGAAAGCCTTTATTTCATCGGGGACACGCAGATTCAGGCGCTTGGCCGCATCCTTGGCAGAGATCTTCTCGTATGACTTCTCTATGCAGGCGCCGATCTCGTCGCGCACAGTCTCCACCAGCAGGTCCATAAAGTAGCTGTAGATTTCAGCGGGCACCGTCGACTTGGCCTGGAAGATCTTGTTGTAGCGCCCCTCCATGATGTACTGCTCGAGGGCCAGGATGGGACGAATGAACTGGTTGTGCTGGATAACGTCAACCGAGAGCAGCTCCAGCTCTGTGTGGAAGTCGGACACCCGGTTGCCGGACAGCAAATACAGCAGATTGAGGCCCAGCAACTTGTACTTGCTCTCTGACTCGCCGATTATTTTGGCGTAGTCGTAGTAGTAGCACTTCAGTTGCGCCATGTAGCGCTCAAAGGCGAGCAGATCCTTGCTAAGAACGCTGTGCTCCACGGCTACCTCGAGAACTCCCCTGGCCAGCAACAGCTGCTTCTTTGAGTTCTGGGCATCGCTTCCGTCGGTGGGCAGGAACGCCAACTTTACCAGAGCCACCTTCAGTTGGTCCAGCAGCTGGCCACAGCGCGCAGTGTTTGGGGGGCGCTTTGCCCACTCGACGGTCAGTTCCTTGTAAAGCGCTTCCACGTTTGCCATTTCGTTCGCTTAATTGCAGTTAAATTCAGTTAATACAGAGTTTAGTTTGGATGATGAGTTTCGCTTTTGCGATAGCGATGGTAGTTGCTGTGCTGTGTGACCGTGCACGACTCAAAACTATACCGATATATATCGAAAGTTCATTTTGGAAAAAGGGAATTTTTAGGGGGAGTCAAAAAAAACTTGCAATGCTTAATAAATATTCTATTACTATGTGAAATCAACACTTAAATTATGCGAAACTTTTCCCACTTTAATTTTCTTGCAATTATTATTGGATTTTAATGTATTTGTTGTCCACCTCTGGCCGATAATTATCGTCTTTCTGCCAGTGCTGAGCAGCGCATGTGCTTCGCTGGCTTGTTCAACACCTAACATTAATATTTCGACCCTTTCGCCAACGACAAGCGTCCAGAACTCATATATTTTGGGAGAATCGACGAGTATAACTCAGCAAGATGTCCGACGAGGTCAACAACGACGCGTGGGACGACTCACTGCTCGTTAAGTTTTACGATGAAAATGTTGGCCTGGCCCGCGAGGAATTGGCACGTCGCCTGGCTGACTCTACCAATAAGCGTGAGCAGGAGAACGCGTCTGCCGAGGCTGCCGTTGCCGTTGCCGAGAATTCGTCGTGCTCCAGCCCCCGGCCGACAGTTTTCGAGGTTGGCGATTTCGCACGCGCCACTTACAATGATGGCTTGGACTACGAGGGCGTCGTGGTTTCCGTGGACGAGAAGGGCGAGACCTGCACTATCCGCTACCTGGGCTACGAGAACACGCAGGAGGTGCTCATGACGGACTTACTGCCCTCATGGGGCAAACAAGTTCGTCGGGAACAGTTTCTTGCTGCCAAAAACGAGGAGGCCGGTGAAGAGCAACCGGCGCGCTCCAAGGCATCGACTTCTGCCTCCGCTGGCGTAAACCCGAAGAAGTCGTCCTCGGGAAAGGGCAAGACCTCTGCCGGAGGAAGCGGCGGGCTGACAATGCCGCCCATGCCGCCACTTCCCCCCATGTTCACCTCGCAGAACGAGGGCGGTGAGCAGGACGTTGTGGCCATGCTAACGGCCTGGTACATGTCCGGCTACTACACTGGTCTGTATCAGGGCAAAAAGGAGGCCAATGCTATTGCCAACGCCAACGCCAAGAAGAAGACTCCGAAGAAATAGTATAATATGTATCTCACTCCACATCTTTCCAAAAGACTTGTAGCCGTTAAGCAATTAAAAACAATAAACATTTGTTATGTTTAGAGAGACGTTCAATTTTATTGCCCAGCGGGTAGGGTCGCGTTTCGTGCTTGCCTCTCCACATAACAAAAAAGTGCCGAGGCAGGCAGAAATTCCAGGGTGGCCCTGGGTTCTCTGAGAGTCTTTATGCACCGGATCGGATCAGTAGTCTTTTGGTAGCCGATGGAATCGGTCGCGGCTCTCATCGGAAATTTTGTATTAATTATAAAAGATTATAAAGGAGTCCAGTGCGTTTCCCAGCACTGTTAACGCCCCAGGATCAGGTTTACAATCCGTTCTAGGGCCTCCTGGGTGTTACTTCGAGTTTCGATTTGGCATTCTCTCTGGTCAGTGGTGTTCCGGCAGTCAAAGAAACCTTTTGCAGGTTAAGTTGTACGACATTCAAATTCTCTTAAAGAATTCAAAACAACCTGCATATCCACCGACGTTTAGCAACACTACTCGCGGCTTCGATATGGATCTCCAGATTTGAATTATTGCTAAAAACTAATTTTCGTTGAAAAAAGGACAACAAACGAAGCTTCTGCGATGCCAGGACAGAGGCGTGTTCTGGATTTCGGCGATGGCACGGAGCCCATACTTTTGGACTATCCGGATACCCGGATCTTCTCCAACTGCTCGAGTTACGGCGACCGGGTTCCGGGCTTGAGCTGGAACGAGTTCACTGTGCACCATCGCGGCCAGCTGGAGTACCAGTGCAATCCGCAGCAAGCGATCATGGAGGCAATCTACGAGGCGGTCGACGGAGCCGAGTTTTATCCTGTCCACTACCAGGTTAGTGTCTACCGTCGCCAGGAACGCGTTTATGTTTTTTTTATGGGAATCTATCACTTCCAGCGTGGACCCCGGGAGGACACCTTCCTTGCCCGAAACTGCAAGCAGGCCATTGACAATCTTTTCAAGCTATCGCTTGCCATAAGCGTGGGCAAGGGCGCCTCAATACCAATCAAAGTGCAGCTGGCAGTGGCCGAATCCAACATGAGGCAAATATCACCGCATTTCCTCATCGCCAGCGTCCTGGATAATCTGCTGAAGCGACTGGAGCAGCAGAACGGTGTGGATGGACTCCTCAATCTGGACAACTTTGGGGCCCGACCTGAGTTCCGGAATGTGGTGGTGAGCCTGGCCAACCCTGCCATCTTGATGAACGTGTGCCAGGTGATACGCAATGATCCCGCCTGCGGCCGTGTGAATGGATTCATCATGACGAACAATCACATACGGGAGGTGCGATACTTGAATCTCTTATCGAACGTGGACTACGCCCTGCTTGATCTGAGCGGGAATAAGGTGGGTTTGAAGGTTTCCAGTTAGGTCCTTGGCTAATTTTTAGCTTCCAGATCAGATCGGCGGAACGCTTGTGTCGTGACCTGGCTCAGTTTCGGGCTAGAGAACTGCTTCTGAATCGCAATCCCATTGCCAAGAGCAACAAATTTCCAGGCAACATTAAGGCACTGGAAAATAACTTTCAAATGGTGGTGAGCTGTTTTTTTAAGGCCGTTCATCTGGCCAAACCCATATATATATATATCCCTTGGTGTCTCTCTAGAATGGTTTGCCCTTCAACAAGCTGCACAAGGCTTATTCCCCGCTGGATGGCGAGATTGATCTGTATGTGGATGGTACCCGAATTGACGAAGTTAACGCTTTCCAGCTGCCTGAATTCGAGCATAGCCAGCATTGGCATGCCTTTCTGGTGGGTTTTTTGTACCTGGGACGGGAGTTAGGGATGTGTGCCAGGTTTTTCTGGAAATGTGTTGGGTTTTTTAAGAGATATTTGTACTTTTATGGTAGCCAGGTTTCAAAGTTTCATTAACGTCAAGATAGAGCAGGCATCTCCTTCGACCACTATAGTTATTCATACATCAATTAACATTAATAGGTTCCAGATCCCCATCACGAGTTCCAGCAGGAGTCGTTTTTTAATATGTTCTTCATCTATGTGGATCCCAACTTGAGCGAATTCTATCCCTGCTACTACAGGGTGAGTTTTGTCTGAAATTCTCACCTTCCTTCTCACCTTTATCCCTTTACCAACATCCTTTCAGTACGATCGTGGCGAGCACATCTTTCTGGTTCGCAACTGCTACGATCAGATTGCCAATCTGGTCAACAATTTCAAGCTACAGATGGAGATACCAGCCATGCCCATGTTTCCCGAGAAGCGAAGCTTTGGTTACTACCTGCGCATGAACGTGAGCACCTTCAAAAAACAGCACGTGGTGCCGGAGGAGTGCCTCATAAAGGCAGTGGAACGTAGATATGCGGCTCAAAACCGTCTGCTCGATCTCGAACAGCTTCAGGCCAGCGAGAGCCTTCGAAATGTGGTGGTGCATCTCAGCTCGCCGAAAATTCTGACCAACGTTCTGTCGGTGGCCTCGAAGCAGTTTATGACCAACTGCTCGGAGATACGGCTGTGCAATAACAAGATATTGACGGTGCAGAAGGCACACATCCTGCGCAGGATGGGCAACTTGCGAGCGGTGGATTTGAGCCACAATTGGCTCCACGAACTGTCCGCTATCGAGTCCCTAAGCGAACTCCCCCTGAAATCGTTGGTTCTTTACGGAAATCCCCTATGCCGCAACTACTGCCTGCCTAGCGAATACGTCCGGGCGGTTACGCAGATGTTTCCACAGCTAACCACACTGGATGGGGTGGATTTGCAAACGAATCCGGGCCAGGCGCCGCAGAAGGATTTCCTTTGCGACATTGCCGCCTATGAATTGGTGGGCGATGTTTTCCTCAAAGACTATCTGCGCGAGTTCGAGGGCCAGGATGAGCGGGCCAATCTGCATAAGTACTATACAGACGACTCTCTGTTCACCATGACCAGCACCTACAAGATGCCGAGCCACTACATAAATGGCCACCTCGTTCGTCGCATCTCCAAATACAGCACACATGCCCGCAATTTACTCAAAAGTGACATTTCGCGGGCAGCCAATGGAGTGCATGTGGGCAAGGAGGAGATCATGGTGGTGCTGATGCAGCTGCCAAAGGTCACCCACGATTTCCACTCCCTACAAACGGACGTAATGTATTACGATGGCAAGTCGGCGGTCATCAATGTGACCGGTCTGCTGCGTGACGAGCAGCCAGACAGCAGAGATAAAAGCGATTTCTTTTTGGCCTTCAGCCGGCAGTTTGTGATAAAGATTGATGACGAGGGACAGGTAAGGTTGATCTTTAATAAAAAGTATTTCAAAATAATTAATAATATTTATAATAACATATTTCCAGGGCATTAGCAAGGGCGCCCGTCGCATACGGATCACCAATGAACGTTTCAACATCATGAATCCCAGCCAAAAAATGATTAGGTCTGCCTTTAAAGTAAACTATCCGGATCACACAGCGGAGAAGGAGAAAGACTCGGTGGATACCAAGGATTACAAGCTGCTTATATTCCAAGAGATAACCGGTCTCATTTCCCCCTGGTGCACATCGATTGTGGAGCAAGCGGACTGGGACCTAGAGCGGGCCCTGAAATTGTTTATACAAAAGAATGCTGCCAACGAGATACCGGATCAGGCCATTGCTTAGGCCTTAAATTCTCTAGAGAAAACTTGTAACACTAAGAGCCAAAGAAGAAATCTAAGACTAGTTTAAAGATTATGAATTGAAAGGTTAATATTTGGTGCAAAACAGACTTCTTTTCAACAAAATGTTGTGGCGTCACGGCTAAAGTTTAAGCTTAGTTAATAAAATACCGTATAATAACAAGATTTGAACAAAGTTTTTTTTTAATTTGGGGTTTCCTTAGTTCCCATTTTCCAAGTTCTGATAAAGCTTCTACTCATTCCCAATAAAACTAGCTTGGATTATTACCATTCAGATATTGCTTAGATGGCGAAAAAACATTTATTTGATAATTACGAGTTAATCACGTGCAAAAAGGAGTCATTCTTTGGGAATCTTTCTTAGCTTCCAATCCCTTAGCTGCAGGGGGTCATTGGGAAATAAATATTGAGGAAATGCCATCCCATATATCGCTTAATTATTTAAATATTTTGTTTTGTAGACTAGAAAATGTTTTTAAATACATTTAGCATATGTTTTTTGTTTGTTGTATAATATGTATAATGCATTGGTAAACGCACAGTTCAAGATCCTTACACTTACGACAAGTTACAAAAAGGAGAGAGGGGAAAGTCCGACTAAGCTCTAGGAATTTCGCATATATCGAATATCATATATGTATATCATGTGTTTGTGCTTGGGGTATGGATGTGGGGGAGGGGTGGTCATGCTGATGATAAGAAGATTGAAAGAAAATCGAGTGTTTTCCTGTTTTTTTTAATTCCATAACTTATTGATCAAGTTTCAAAAACAAACTCAAATGCCAGAAATGTCTTCGCCAAGCTATGAGCGCGCCTTAATATCAAAATATCGCGTATCCGCGATGTATGCTTGTGGTTATGTGTATTTTTTTTTGGTAATTACAATGGTTAATTTGAACGGTAGAAAGAATAAGGATTGACAGGGCCAAATGCCTCGGTCAACCATTTGGTTTCTGTGGCTTGGAATAAACATTTTACGAAATTGGCGCTCATAGTTGGCTTAGTTGCTTTTGTTGCTCTGCTGCTGGGTTTTTGCTGCTCCTCTCTGCAGTTGTTGCTGCTGCTGCCGTGACCCGATTTGATTTGGTTCGCCAGCCTCCCGATAATGCTTCATTTGCGTCTGCCGCTCACCGTGCTCCAGCCTCCAGACTCCTGCTGATGGTGTTGCTCCCTATGTCGGTGTTGCTGCTGCTGCTGTTGTGGTGCTGATGTTGGTTTTGTGGTGCTGTTGGCTGAGGTGTGTGTAAGTAGAGCACCACTAGCGGCGGCGGAGGACGCAGCAGCATCGTCTCACTTCTTACCGGGAGGCGCTATTGGTTGGCCGCGCTCCTTGCCGCGCAACTTGATGCCCAGCACGCGTTCCATCTTGCCGAGGATCAAGTTGTTTGGTATTCCGCGTCCAGCCTCGTAGTCGGTCACCACCTGCTGTTTTTCGCAGATTTTCTATAAAGTACAGAGGGAGATTGGTTACTCTTCAAAGCTATAAAATTTAACTAAAGCAAAAGCAAGGCTCAAATAACACACAACAGCTTAATAGCTAGGACATACAGTGGCCAAGTCCTTCTGGCTGAGCCCCTTTCCCTGGCGTCCCTGCTGGATTAGCTTGCCAACGTCCAGGGGAATCTTGTCGTGGCGCAGCTCTTCAGTCTCACGGTCCAGCTTGGCAGTGTTTTTGGTGGTCACATGCTGCTTGTTGGTGCCAGCACCATCTGCTCTCCAAGGGACATGAAAGAAAAAAATCAGTTGGTCAACCAGGGGGCAGGGTGGGGAAATGCCGATATGCAGTTGTGAAATCACTCGACCGGTGACATGAATAACGACAACAAATGCCACGCAATGCAGCAGGAGGTGCTTCTAGGTTAGACAGTGGTATGGCCGCAAAGGGGGTCACAACACACACTCGTACACTCAGGGGAGAGGGGGCCGAACCACCGGCGGCGGCGGCGACAGTGCTTACATTTCTGTTGGGTGTCCACGGCGACTCCTTGGCGGCGAGCCTGGTTCACCGCCGACTCCGTCTTCAGCGTGGACGACTTGGGCGCCTTCTTGCGCAGAACGGTCACAGAGTCCCAGTCCGACATCTTTTTTGTTTCGTTTTTTTATACGTGATTTTTAGCGCACGATTTGGCGAGCAGGCGGAGGTCGTCAGGTGGAAATCAAAATTACCGAAAAGGGCAATAAGAATGAGTGAAAGCTTTCGAATCGAAAGGCGGAGCGACTGGCTGGTTTGATGGGACTCACATTGGCTGCTTTGCTTGGCTTAATCTGCTTTATTATTAATTAAAACTACGAAATTCCAGAACTATCTCCCGAATTTGACTTGTATATGTGTTAGGGATGCAAAAATATCGATGTTGCTATCGAAAGTTTAAAGAGTGCGATTGTCGATTTTTTAATATCGATAAGCAGAGTTTTCTCCGCATGGCCACACTTAAATCGCGCATGTAAACAAAAATGCTCGAAAACAAGTTGAATTTTCCGGTTTTTCCGCTTTCCCTGCTAGACGACAGCGAACACCAGCCCCAGCGTTGCTATGTGCCGGCAGGAGAGGATGTCCTGGAGACAGGATGGTGCCGCTGCCACCTTTCCGATGGCAGCTACTCCGTTTGTTGGGTTACAACGCGGTCCGGCAGTGAGACTTGTTGCTTCCTAGACGGGATTGTCACCTCCTCGTCTCGATTTGCACCCACCACCAATCAGCGGCTAGTGAAACTGGAGCCTCTAAAACTGGTTTCCAGTGTGAAGAGGATTCCCTGCGTCGTCACAGTCACAGAGGAGCTACTGCAACGCCCTCAGGTTGCGCTGGAGGATCTGCGGGACGATGTGCGGGTGTTCTTGCGCCACCTGAAGCTCACAAGAGGATGCTCCGTGCAGCATCGACGACTTGCCCAGTTGGGGATCGCTAGCGTAGAGATATTCGATGCTCCAGAAGTCGGCCTAGATGAGTGCTTTGAAATAGCTCGCAATGCTCAGTTGCTCCTGGTGGACACGCGCCTGGCGGTGCCTTATCCCTTAGTTTGCTCCTCGCGTTACCTGCTGCACAGCTTCGAGACGGCAATGGAGGCCTTGGAGCGGCTAGTAGAGACCTCCAAGCGCGACTTTACTCATCGATTTCCCACCACAGCCTTAGTTGTGGGGCCCGTGGGCTGCGGTAAGAGTCGTCTGCTGGGAGAGTTTCTGCGTCGTCACAGCTGCAACTGCTTCTACATCACCTCTAGCCAGGTGCTGCGTTCCTATCCCGGCGAAACGGAAGAGGAATTGCGAAGGATCTTCCAGGCGGCTGAAACATTTAAGGAGCAGCTGCATCCGCTGTGTAAATACTTGTTTATCCGTATTATTCCAAGTTTTTTAAAGATGTTTCTTTGTTTTAGTGCCCATTCTGATACTCATCGAGGATCTAGAGCTGCTCTGCCCCTCGACAAGCTCCGCGGATGCCAAAGATGCTAGCAATTCGCTGCGCATTTCTGCCCAGCTCTACAAACTAATTGATGCACTGCCTCAAGGCATTATTTGTGTGGCCACCTCTGGATTTCCGGACTCCTTGCATGAGCACGCTCGCCGGCGCTTTGTGCGGGAGATTTCCATTGAAATGCCCAGCGAGGAGCAGCGCCGACAGCTTCTGGAAGATCTCTGCCAAGAGCAAGCTCTAGAAGTTTCCGAATCACTCCTCGAACACTTGGCCAGGAACACTCAGGGATATGTGATGGCCGATCTAGCACTTCTTCTGCGACGCGTGCAACAGGAATGGCTGACTAAAAGGGACACATGTTCCAGCTTGGATCAAATCTTTCGCCAGTCACTGCTCCGAACGCAACCAAGTGCCTCCCGGGCCACGGATGTGCGTGTGTCCAAGATGACTGAGGGATTCGAAGCAATTGGAGGAATGGAATCTCTAAAGCGCACACTGCAAGTCTCCGTTTTGGCTGGCCTTCGGCAGAGTGCGGCATTCGCTCGTTTCGGTTTGAGTTTGCCCAAGGGAGTGCTGCTCTATGGACCACCAGGATGTGCCAAGACCACCATTGCCAAGTGCCTGGCCAGGGAGGCGAACATGACCTTTATTGCCACCTCAGCGGCGGAGGTTTACTCGCCATACGTGGGCTGTGCAGAGAGGTTTATCTCGCGGATTTTCGACACGGCTCGCAAGAATGCTCCTTGTTTGATATTTCTGGACGAGATCGGTAAGTGAACTCTGCTAAAAATGATCCTCTACTTCAAATTCCTTTCAAATTCCAGATTCCCTTGTTGGCCGAAGAACAGTTTCAAGCGGTGGCGGCGGTGGCCAAGTTCAGCTGAGGATTCTCTCCACTCTGCTCACCGAAATGGATGGAATCGTGGGCGGCGGTAGCCAGCAGCACATTCTTGTTGTGGCGGCCACCAACCGTCCCGATATGATTGATGATGCTCTAATGCGACCCGGACGCTTTGACAAGCTCATCCATGTCCCGGCGCCAGATGCGGATTCACGTCTAGCGCTGCTCCGGCTGCATGCCCGGCGGATGCCCTTCCATGCGGACGTGGATCTAGAGACTATAGCCTCTCTCACCGAACGCTATTCCGGAGCGGATCTGTGCAATCTGTGCAATGAGGCGGCCATTGAGGCATTCCAGCGGGATTTCGAGGCTACCGAAATCCAGTGGCAGGACTTTGAGAAGGTCCTCGGCAAGCAGAAGTCCTCGCTAACACAGAGCCAAATCGATAGCTACTATAGGTTTGCCTACAGGTTTTTGTAATTAAAGAGGAAAGTTATATTTGTTTGTTGCTAATTTTGTTAATTTACATTTATTTTCTACTTAATTTAAATAAACTTTTGTAAATACACAAATTATTTGTTAAATTTTTACAAAATGAAATATTTTTAAAGGGAAAAATAATAAATTTAACTTTAAAAGTTAATTTTCGAAGTTCAAATTACGCGCTCTTATTCGATTACCGATAAACCGATTGCTCTTAGCTGGCTCAGCTGTTTTGTCGATAACCTGCTGCAGCAGCAAAACAAAGAAAATTGTAAACCAAATTAACGCAATTAAGCGGAGTAAAAAAAAACCTAGATTACCACAAAAAAACAACTACTGATAGTGAGTCATCGCAAAGCAAAAGCTTTACCGGCCAGAATGGCAGAAACCCGGAAAGACGCAGCGCCGCCGAGCTACGACGAAGTCATGAACGCCTCTTCTCAGGGTAAGAACAAGTCCAAAAAAAACATTAAATACGTTAAAGTAAACCCTTAAATCCTTTCCAGATTCTCGACTGATTGCAGGCGTGCACCATGGAGCACCCAGTGCCCCACCTCCAAACATGCATATGCCCACGTACGGAGCTTTCGAGACAACTCCGGTGAGTGTGGTAATCCAGCAGCCGGCTCCAGTGGTCGCCTTGCCCACGGAGATCATTGTAATTGGCGGCTGCCCTGCCTGTCGCATTGGCTACTTGGAGGACACCTTCTCCGCCTGTGGCCTGTGCTGCGCCATCTTCTTTTTTCCCGTGGGAGTCCTCTGCTGTTTGGCCATGCGGGAGAAGCGTTGCACCAACTGCGGAACGGTATTCTAAGAAGGGGGATTCCCCAGGGACGTGGGGTGGACTACTATTCCTTATTGGGCCTGTTTTTCTATATATATCACAAAACTCTCATATTTTTACTATTGTTATCGTTAGAGCCTACAAATCATTAAATTTTATGTGTAAATATGTGAATCATGGCCAGTTTTGCGGTCTGCCCCCGATTTCCAGTCGGTTTCGATTGAGCGATATGTGTACAGTGGAATGTCCATAAACCGATAAGGAAATTCTGCTATATAACTTTATATATAATCAGTTATTGGTCAGGAAAAATAGTTGTTTATTAACAGATATTGTATATTTTTTAAACTATAGACTTAAAAATTGTTTGGTAAAACAAAAAGCCTATGAATTAATATAAGTTAAAAATTAAAATAAAAATAGGAAGCCTCAGAAATTGCTAAGGATTTAAATTCGATGGATATCTAGGCCCAAAGTGTGTTATTCAATTATTTAAATTAAATTTAAAATTTAAAATGACAAACTTTTTGACACTTTCTAAAGATTTGAATTCCCTAACTATTTCTGTGGTATTCCTTATATTTTATTATACGATTTATGGGTGCTATGAAGCTTGATTCGATAAATATATATAGAAGCCACACTGTATTCTGTTTTGTATTGTAGATACGAAAGCAACATAGTCGTCGAGGCGCGCTTCCGTTAAACTCAATTAAAATATAATGGGGAGGTCGGTTTTGAATTACGTCCGCATTTTCCAAGCTCTTTTCACTATGCCGCATATTTTGCTTTCTGTATTTGTCGTCTCCGACAGATCTGTAAACAAGAGGAGTGCATCTAAAAGGAGGATGTATTTATTCAAAGATACCCTGTTATGGTTTATCCTTAAAAATATATACATTTAAATTTAAAGAATACAAAAATTAATTGAATTTTAGGAATTTCCATGAACCTTAATTATTGCTGAATTAATTATATTTAAGAAAATTGTTACAATCATTAAAATAAACAAAATAAATCAAAAAACATCTCATTTCTTCATCCAACTAATATTCCCTGGGGGTACAAGTTCATGGGCATCGAGGGTAGCACAACAAATTCGCCGGCATCCAGCATCCGCTGCCGTGTCGTCGTCGGCGGCATCTTCGAGTCAACAGTCGCGAATCTCCTTTGCCGTGGACATGACCGCTGCTAGTGCTCGTCTCCTGCTCTTGTTGTGGCTGTGGGAATTCTTATTCTTTACCGCTACCTTCTCGGAGGCAGCTACCCCACCCCAACGTCCCAATGTGGTGCTGGTGATCTTTGATGATCTGCGTCCAGTTCTGGGCGCTTATGGTGATCCGCTGGCCAGCACCCCCTATCTGGATGAGTTTGCTCAAGGAAGTCATGTCTTTACAAGGGCCTACAGTCAGGTGAGGGTCAAGGATTGATCGATTCGCATTATTCCCTTAAAGAGAAAGAGTAATCTCAATAATATTTATACTTTTTGGGTTCAGCAATCTCTGTGCGCGCCCAGCCGGAATTCCCTGCTCACAGGCCGACGTCCGGATACATTGCACCTGTACGACTTCTACAGCTACTGGCGCACTTTTACCGGAAACTTTACCACCTTGCCGCAGTACTTCAAGGATCATGGATACTACACCTACAGCTGTGGCAAGGTCTTCCATCCGGGACTTTCCTCAAACAATACAGATGACTATCCCTTAAGCTGGTCGGCGCCAGCCTTCCGTCCACGTACCGAGCAGTTTATGAACTCACCCGTGTGTCCGGATAAGGAGGGCATTCTGCGGAAGAATCTCATCTGTCCAGTGGAGCTGCAAACGCAGCCGTACAAGACTCTGCCGGATATTGAGTCTGTGGCTGAAGCTCTGCGGTTCGTAGAGAGCCGTAAAACCCGGAATCGAGAGCCCTTTTTCCTGGCCATGGGTTTCCACAAGCCACACATCAATTTCCGCTTTCCCAAGCAATTCCTCTCCAGATTTCCTTTGCCTCAGTTCTTCAACTACACAGAGGACACCCTGAAGCCCCCGAATATGCCAGCGGTGGCCTGGAATCCCTACACGGATGTGCGTGCCAGGGATGACTTTAAGCACTCGAATATCTCCTTTCCTTATGGACCCATTGCCAGGCATCAGGCTGCCCAGATCCGACAGGGTTACTATGCCTCCGTGGCCTATGTGGACGATCTGTTTGGTAAGCTGATGGAGGGTTTGGATTTGGAGAACACGGTGGTGGTGGTACTTGGTGATCATGGCTGGTCCCTGGGCGAGCATGCCGAGTGGGCCAAATACAGTAACTTCGAGGTGGCCCTGAGGGTTCCACTGATGATTAGAAGCCCGCAGTTTCCTGTGAGCCAAACTAAGTTCTATCAAGGCATCACTGAGCTGCTGGATGTGTTCCCTACTCTGGTGGATCTGGCGGGTTTGCCTGCTTTGCCCGCCTGTCAAGAGGATCCCCAGAAGTTGACCTGCGGCGAGGGCAAGAGCTTGTACTTTCAACTGATGGGCTTGGGATTGGGTAAGTTGTTTTTAGGTTTTTATTTTTATATTTTTGATTATATTTTGATTAACCTTTCCAGCGGATGAGCATGTGGCCCTCAGTCAGTATCCTAGACCTGGAATGCTGCCCACAAAGCATCCTAATAGCGATAAGCCCAAGCTGCGCAACATCAAGATCATGGGCTATAGCTTAAGAACCGATCTATATAGGTATACATTGTGGGTCAGATTCCATGCCCAGAATTTTAGTCGAGGTAAATATGCTTTTTTTTATTAATTAATAATTTAATTATTCTATTAATTATTTTAATAATTCCCCCAGACTGGCATGATGTATATGGCGAGGAGTTGTACGACCATCGACTGGACTCTGGCGAGGAGATGAACCTGGTGCCGCTGCCCGAATTCGATGATGTGCGCCAGCGTCTGCGCCGGCGTCTCATGGAGGTCGTGGGCAGCAGCTAGCGGAGATCGCCTACCCCAGCTCTTTCCCCTGACCTGATCTTAAAGATTTTAAATAAATTCATAAGCAGTATATGTATATATGTATGTATATAGTATGCAGCTGGAGAGACGAAGCGAATATCTTGTCGCCATAATTGGAATTTAATACTTCCGGTTGGGCAACAACTTTTGCGAGACGCCCAGACATGCTGCATATTTTTCGCTGTAATTTCTGCAATCCTCCCCTTGGACGTCTGCCTCTGGCTCTCGCTCTGGCTCTGGCACTGCTTATATAGCATACAATCCGATCCACTCCGATCCGCGCATGCGTGACTTGTGTCCATTGCCTTTTTGGCTTCGTTTTTCTGAATTTTTGTGAATGAAATTTCATTCAACGTTGGCGGCGCGCGTCTCGCTGCGTTGGCGTTGCCGTTGACGTTGACGTTGGCAGCGACGTCGGACGCCCAAATCTGGAGGAGGAGATGCGGAGAGAGGGGAGCAGGGATCAGGGGGGAGACAGGCAACCAGTGGGGCGACGTTGGCGACTCTTTTCAAGCTTTCATTTTCGCTTCGGCTTGTTGCCAGGCGAGTGAAAATCGAAAATCACCGAGAAAAATTATAGTTTAGGCTTAAGATTTAAAAATTAAGGAGAAATACTAATAAAATTAATTTAAAAAAAGTTATAATAATAAGAAAGGAAGCTAAATTCGCTTGCAGTTTGAAATTCTCTTAATAAGAAGGGTATAAAAATATATTACGTAGGCTTCCGAATGCAATTATGATACCCTCAAAGGGGTATTTTAAATTTAAATATTTATCCATCATTTTATATGACAATTATATTGAAAAATTAAAGCGTAAAAATAGCACAACTAAGTCAAAAAAGCATCAAATTTAATTTGGAAAGCTTTTTTATGCTAGTTTTTTCTAGGTTAACAAATCTGCATATTAAATTAATATTTTTAAAAAATTCAAATTTTTTCAATTTTTGAAAATTTTAATGATGTAACCCCTTATAAAATTTTGAAAAATTGACTCAAAAATTGATTTCTTCCAGACATGACTAGAAAGATGCGCCTATTGATGCTGATAAAGAATATATATGGTTTATAGGGTCGGAAATGACTCCTTCACTGCCTTTCAAGCTTCTGACTCAAATTAAAACACTCTGCAAGGGCACAAAACTAAAAAAATAAATTTAAATATATAAAAAATAAAATATTAAATTTTTTAAAATTATTATTTTTAAATTTATATTCTTATAATATTATTCCTTTAATTTGTAATGTTTTTTATTGTTTCTTGATCAATAAATATTTTATATATTTAAAAATATTTTTCCCAGTGCCTCTCCAAGCCTGGTAATTAAATCTGCAGTCCGCTCCTTGATCGATGCGATCCCACTGGCCCCTCTTGTGGCTCTCGCTTCCCCCCCTCTTAACCCCTCAACGCCCGCCTGCCTTAACCCACTCTTTCTCTACGTGCTCTCTAATGTGCATATTTGGTGTGGGCTGCGTTTTTGGGCTCGCCATGTGGGCTGCCGCCTCTCTGGAAGGTGATTAAACTGCATTTTGGCAGCACTTTCAAAATATGTGTCTGTGCAACTTACCTCCTACTCTCCCCCCTTACAAAAAAGGCGTGGCCATTTCAGCTTTATGATTTTGTCATATTTTTTTCCCCCAGTTTGTGGCTGCTACAATTCCATTCACTAACTTTTTGGCTTGATTGCGTGGCAGAGAAAAGTCTAGTTGAATTAAGCTTAAAAAATAATATATTTACGAAGTATTCTTAAGGGAAAGCCTTATACAAAACGACGGCACAACCGTTAAGGAATTACACCTGGAAGACCTTATTGGATGACTGCCTAAAAGGTATTAGAACTATTTAAGGTGTGTGTTGGGCCCCACCCCCTCTTAAATATTATTATTACCACATCCACATCCCCATCCCACCTACCATAACTTATTTTTACATTTGCCATTTCCGTTGTGGGCTTTCCTCTCATTCATTTTCTTTACCGTTGCTTTGTTGACAGCACACCACCTTTTCTTTAATTCGCGCTGCAGTTCCTCCCAAACCCAGTTTTCCCCCCACTCAGCACTGAGCACCCCCTCCAATTTGTGTGTGCATAATGCATCCCGGCGGGAATCGGGTGGGGTGGGGGCATTATATAGCGTCTATAGCTCGTGTGGGGCCTTTGGCTCTGTTTCGGTTTTGAGTTTTGCGGCTAACCGCAGCACAGTCGCAAGTCGCATAGCGCGTGTGTTATAATAATCTATGGCACTTTAGAGGTTTAACCGATGGCCGTATAGATTCAGACTCCGATACAGATACAGATACGAGATGGAGATACAGATACGGATACCTGGAGATAGGCTGGCTTAGATGGATAGCCGGCTGAAGAGCGGCGACGGTGACGGCGACGGTAAATGTGGCAGACACTCGGGCGGGCTGGCTCTAAACTGTATTATATATCTATGGCTATAAAGCCCACGAGAGCTGATTTCGAATCGTAGACACAAACACTGATGGACTGAGAGAAAATTTGGTTTGGTTTTGCATATATATACAAGGTTATCCTTGTAGATCTGTTGATGAAATATTAATTAATATTGTAAAAGTGCTTTAGCTGAATTTTAAAACAAAAAGTAATTTTAAATATAATTCTATAAATTCTATAAATTATATTTCTGAAGTAGCATTTGTATCCTGATTCATAGCACCATATAACTATCTATATATCTATCTATCTATCTATCTATCTATCTATCTATCTATCTATCTATCTATCTATCTATCTATCTATCTATCTATCTATCTATCTATCTATCTATTTATTTCATAGTCCTATTTTTTTTTGCCGTGCACTCACAAAATATAGCGAATAATGCGAATACAACTTTAATTTGAATTTGTAGGTTGCTCGGCTGTTTATTTCTAAGCTAAAACTCAAAGGCGTGGGCGTTTCAAACGAAATTGCAAAAGATGCGTAGGCAGCGGCTGAGACGCCGGTCAACTACAACAACAACAACTATAGTAATAAATAAAAAAAAAAAACAACAAAATGAGACAACACATGGTGTGGTGTGTGCCTCGGAAACGTGTATAAAGTGGATATAGTTCATCAAGCGGACTAAAGTCGGCTTTTTACCTACGCATCTCAAGCTCACAGCTCACATCTCACAACTTACAGTCTTTAGCTCCAAGTGTAAATCGGTTTTGTACACGCAGAGAAAAAATATATATATTAAAAATGTATCAAGAAATGGGAGCTGGAATTTTTTAAGAATTAGAAAGAATTAAAGAATTAAAGAACTAGAAATGAGATCTATAATTTTAAAATAAATTATTTTAGGTCTATACATTTCAAATTTTATGTAGAATTTTCAGTAAAATACAAATAGAGCTTATTTAAAAATTAATTAAGAACATACTATACCCCTTTCCCCAGTGTAGTTATACTCATAGACCTAGGTTGTTGTTGCCCGGCCTCCCGCTGTAAAAAATGCTAATTTTCGTTGACATGCCATAGTTTGGCTAATGACGAAGGTTGTTTGTTAGCTTAGTCAGTTGACTTGACGCCGTTGCCAAAAAAAAAACCGAAAAAAATAAAATAGAATAAATAGAAGAAGAAACTTAAAACTGGTTACCAAGTGTGTGTGTTCAAGAGAGGGGTTTGCTCTTGGAGGGAGCTCGAAATTTCTTTTGACGGAATTTCCATGAATTAATACTGCTGCCGGATTATGCCGGATTCAACGCTCCTCAGGTGTCCCGGCACTTGTGTGCATTATGTATGGATATATATAGGCTTGGAGGCCTATATGCCAGATATCAAGCTGTGACGAGCAGGAAATTCGTATCTCTAAATGGTCTTAAGCCGGCCGAGAGGATCATCGCTCTAAAGTCGCCGTTTTGAAACCCCAATTCAGTAGCTCCGCTCCGGCCTGTTGATCTTTGGGGGCCGATAGTGGACTCTCTGGCAGTCGATTCATTCATTAACCCAATATTAATTTGATCATTCGAGTTTGTAATTATTCATGGAGCCAAACAAGCCAATAATAAATGTATATAATGAATATTAAAAGGGCTACTGGCGCACCTTGCCTATTGATAGATGATTAAGTAAGCGCAGTGAGGAAATAGCTGTTCTAACGAAATAAATATGGTGAAGATTAAAGCTTTGAAATATGATAAGTATTGGCAAGAGATTGATTTTGTTACAAAGGCAAAGTAATTTTAATTATTTGTGCAGGTTTCAAACGAAAATATTGTACAAAAACCTTTAGTAAATGAAATGAAATGAGGTTTATTTTATTATTTGCACACAATTTTAGACATTTTTATGGATTTCCAAGCCACTAAATATTTGTATTCCCTAAAAACCTAGCTGATTTAAGACTTTTTTAAGAGTAAGCCAAGATTTAAAGTCAACTTAATCAATTAACATTCTAAGAAGCCATAATAACTTGATATTGAAAGCTCTTTATTAGGTTCTCTCCCACAAATATCGACTTTGTTTATCACTGTTTCCACCAATTTCCTTAAAACATCTCCAATTTCCATTTCCGACAAGGCAAAATAGTGTTTCCTACGCCCACAGCGCCATGGTTGGTGTGTGCTCTTGGCATTTGATCAATGTCAAGGCCTGATCACTTCATCAGACCATAACTACGGCCGATCTTGGTATGTACTCACAGCCTTGGCCAAGAGAAATAACAAAAAAATACAAATAAAAATAAATAAAATAAAGCACAAGAAAGAAGCCATTGCCAAAAAAGAAATTGCTAAGCAGACAATTTTTGTTGAATGAAATTCACGCATGGCAAGAGTCTCCAAGATCTGGACATCATTTGACCATTCAAAAGGGAATGGAACAGAGAGGTGGGGAGAGCCAACAATGAAGTGAAGGAGAAGAGCCAAACGGGCCACTCAAGTTGGCCCAAACCAAACCTCAGCCGAAAGAAGAGTCATCCGGAGTCTTCTGGGCCCTGTCTTGTAGCAACGAAATAATTTATTGAAATTCAAATTTATTATCTGCTGCTGCCATCCCATTTTTGAGTACGGCGAGCTCTCGGGCTTGGCCAGGTCGAAAGAGATTTCTGTTCGGTTTATTCTCCACACTCTGCGGCCAAAACCAATTCAGCTGGAATGCAGGGCCCAAACACATTTGGCCCAGAGC